AAATGTTTGCCTGGTCTTAGTTCTGTCAAAGTGGGGCCCACATGTGGGTTACATGTACATGTATGGTACATGTACATCCATGAACACATGTGCACCTGTACATGTAAATGATCTGCAGACAAAGTGAAACCGGTGCGTACATGTACCGTACTGTATGACACTGATAAAACAATGCCATTTAAATTCCTGCTGTCAGGCTGTACACATGCATGCATTCCCCAGTGCATTTATGTACCGGTATGGTACACGCTGTACATGTACATGTACAGCATGAACTTCTTGGTTTAAGGGTAGGAAAAAACATTTCCCTTGTATCATACATTTCCAGCGCATGTTTTGGAGGTATATTCGTTTAGGCTTGCATGGACCAAAGATGTTCATACATGCACCCTGTACATCTACAGGCGGCCAAATACGAATAAATACTGCAAGTAGCGGATAAGTTTGCTTTACATGTATTTTCAGAAAACCCTATCTGACAAAAGTACTTCCTTATCTGTCTAAAGGTTTTAGACATGAACATGCAGGCAGTCCTACAGTTTTCAATGCACAACATGTATTACACTATGTATACATACACGTGTAATGGTAGGACCTACATGTACATGTACATTGTATGCATCAAATTCTGGTACCATTAAACGTGCACGAAATACAAGCACAGTTTACTTGATGTGGATTCATCAAGTTAATTATAAAAACGAAGACAAAATGTGAAACTGAGGAAAAAAGAGGTTCATCAATAATCAATGCTTCTGGTTTTTTTTAATTACATGTACATGTTACATGCAAAGTAAATGTACATGTAATGTACAGTATTAGGGACATGAACACTACAATGTACATGTAGGTAACACACATACAGAATGGGCAATGAGGCTGTCACCTTGAGGCCATAATATGCATATACCGTATGCATGTAGCGGTACATGTATGCACGAAAGAAAAATAGGTCCAGTGAGTATACATATTTCAAATCATAGATGCATATGTGCATGAACAGGCGCATGTCCTGGCTCATGTGTACATGTACTGGCACATACATGAACATATCTTACAGTAACATGCAATATTGTACAGCATCCACAAGTACATGTATGTGCCAAATTAGAGGTTAATCATGTTATACAGGACAGCCGAGGGCCTCCAACCCTGACAAGGAAGCATTAAAAAGATGTCAGCATGCAGTTCAGATTGCAGCATTTGTGATAGGCCTGAGAATTCCCAAAGTGCGTGTTGAGCATACTGTCAATTAACTCTCAGATTACATACTCCATAGGCCCATTCTCTATAATGTCCAAAACATACTGTACATGTACATGTACATGTCCAGGTGCTGTACATTATTACTTATCGCACCAGTGCAAGTGAAACACATGATAATGTATGGTAGCACATCTGTGTCCCATACATGTACCACAAGACCAAGGCCCAGGGCCGAGGGACACAGACACACTATTTTTCCGTGTTCAACCAGCTCGAGCATGATAACGAATTTATAAATCTTCAAGCAAACTTGACGTGCAGTAAAAATGTTATAGGGGCCTACAGTGTACATGTGTGCAAACGCACCACCTTTGAATTTACAGTAAAGTTTGCAGCTGTCCATTTTGCTCTTAGCATAAATAGTGCAATGCATTGAGTCACAATAGTGCATTATGTGGGGTTTGATATGAACTGTGCAATACAGTTACATATTTCACACTGTTTGTTGCCATGGATCAACCAATCAGAATCGAGAATTCAAGTCTGCTTGAAGGTAACCACACATATAGGGTGCATACCGGTACATGTTATTCATTTGTCCATGTACATGTACTGTTTACTGTAGGGTGGAACTGTGAATTTTAGACATTGATCTTGGTAATAGGCTGAATGGAAGTCGTATTCCTGAAGAGACGTGTGACTGAAGGTACACGTAAGATCTGTAGGGATATGAGAAAGGAAGAACTAGAGAGAAATCAAAGTGGAATCAGTCAGTGGTTAAGGATGGGGTGCGGGCATCATACAGTAATTTTCGAATATAAGCTGCCTGGTGTACATAAGCTACAGCATGCAAAGGTCGGCAAATTAAGATTTAAAAGTTGGCATATAAGCCACAACGGCATACATGTACATGTAAAAGCACACCACAGTGCTGACGATCCAACCATGAAGGTATTGTGTGCTGAAGTGCCAGTATAGACCATTGACAGTTCCACTATACATGTACATGCAAGCCTAATAAATTTAAGGAAAGTGTGAACCAGTGTGAATTTAACAAGTAGGCCTCAAATTTAATACTTTTTGGATGATTGTCCTGCATGGGCCATGCATCAACTCTGTTTTTCCAGCAGCCAGCAAAAGTTGTGCGGTCGCGGATGTACAATAAAATCTTGGTGACTTGAAGTCAATTAAGTTGAAAGATCATCTTGTAGGCTGACTACTCGTATTTCTCGCCAAAAGAATGGGCTTTCATGTAGAAAAATACCTATGTAACTGTCCACAACACTTCATTCAGTTATCGCAAATTTTTTGTGACACCGATCAAAAAATGCCAAATTGCCTCAAAATGAAAAATCTGCATGCGAGACTTTGGTTCAATCATCACACTGGAACCGCTTGTGTTGCATACATGTACACGCTGCACACACCACCGCGATCGCGGACGAACCCTGTTCTCAGGCAAGCCTGACTGCTACCACAGACCCATTCATGGACAGTCCAATCACTGACTCTTTCCGATAACCACATGACCACAGAAGGTGATGTCATTAAAAAAACCCAAGTGAAAAAAAAAACCAAAATTCTGTGGCATGTCATGTTGAACATGATCAGCGAAAAGACAAAAGATCTCCCACACCATTGATACACCATTTAAGAGGTTGGTTTTTATTTAACAGTAGAAAGAAATCTTTAGGTAACAACAACAAACACATTTCAGTAAAATTATTATTTGTGTGCGTGGCCCAGCCGTGGCTTTTGTGACTGATTTTGTCCTTCAAAGTTTGTCGTATAAGCTGGCCAGTGTATAAGCTGCAGAGACATTTTTAAGCATGTGAATCAACGTATATTAAAGCCACGGCTTATATTCTGAAAATTACGTTATGTTACAGTAGGATGGCTCGCAGCCACCATCATGCTTACGGCCATGCGTGTGGTCAAGTGTGCTAATAAACGCCCATCACTGTCTAAGGTAAATCCTGTCCCAAACATGTCCATAACTTCCGAATGTAGCACTAAAACTTGGATGCAAAAAAACATGACAAATTGAAAAACGTACATGGCACAAAAGAGAGGCAACATGTTCACACGAATAATTTCCACATGTAATGTACATCTACGGTGTAAAGAAGCAAGAACATGGAAAAATAGCAAGAATCGGCATCATGCCAGCAAAAGAAAATACCTCATTAGATAAAAAATCTACTAACAAATCATTTACATGTACTGGTACATGTACTGATGAAAATGAAGTGAATGTACAGTAGCTGCATACAGTACACATTTCTTAGGCCTCCCTCCCCCCCAAAAATAGTTCTGCTTCCAATTATGTGCCTCTCCAAAATAGGATCAGTGGGTCAGAATAATTTTGGGGGGTCAATTATTCTGTGCTGATTGAATGGCATGAATGGGGACAAAGCTATCAAAAATTGCCTCAAAAGGGATAACTTAACTTGCCTTAATCTATGTCCAGATTTCTGCATTAAAAAAACATGTGGGAAAAAAATCACAGATTTTCTGGGGGTTTCTGGCACTGAGGACATTTTGAATACCGTTGGGGAGATGCACTTTGCAGATGAGGTCCGACGCTAAATCTGAATCTGAATTCAGAGCATTATCACTCAGAACATTTTTAAATTTTGTCACTTTGTCACTGTGTCTGACTTTTTAAAGTATTGAAATTGTGATTTCTTTTCTGTGCTACTTGTACATCATGTCGGGTAACTTTTTCTGGATATCGTTGCATACTTGTTATGGATACATTTATACCTGCCCCTCTCCCAAAAAACCATACATAGAGGGCTCAGACCTTCATACATGGAAAGGTGCACAATCACAGTGCAGTGTCCTCAGTGTCCTTGCCCATCCAGAAATTGGTGTAAACATGTACTTTTTTATCCTGTTCATAGCTTCCAGGAAATGACTTTCTAATTCCTTTTCTCTGTCAATATATTTTTTCCAACTGTGAACATGGGGGGGTGAACACACAAATTGAAATGCTGTTTTGTTTACGGGTTTTAATACAGTTACAAGTGTTACTTCTAAGTCATTACTATAACCATCTATCTGGAATTAAGTGCACTTGAAATCATGGTGAAATGAAGTTTAAATAAATGCACGTGCTTGGGAGGTCTCAGAGCATGGTTTTGTGTTTGCCACTGTATGAAAGCCAAATAACAACTCCTTGCACTTCAACACTAACAGACCCCTGAACTGATGACGCCACACTTTGTGCTTTCCTGCGATGGTGCTCAGTGGACTGTGGGCCCTGACTGGCTCCATAGGAAAGTGCGTGCATGTAAATAAAATGTGACATCATCAGTATAGGCCTATTCGCTAATACATGTACAATCAGCCGGCATGCTGTCAGCAAGGTCAAGCAGGGATTCATCTGTGGAATTTTCAGATGAACATGATAATTCAGCGATTCCTGCCAACCAAGCTGCAGGTACATCACCACAGGACATCCATGAAAGAGCGCAGAATAAAACAGTCACAGGACAAGTATCACAAATCATGAATATTCATCAAGTTCCTACTGACCAATCACACAGGAGGGTCGCAGCTGATATGACGTTGTTACGGGAGGAGCACAACGGTGATTGCGAGGAGCACGAAGAACCATGCACACGTATTGTGAATATTCTAATGCTGTTCCATTGTTTATTTTTGTAATACCAGTACAACGCCTGTAATCTTCTATCTTTTTTCTTTACGGGGAGGGGGGTGGATTAGGTCTTGTCACTCAGAAGTTTGGCCCTCTAGATTTCCTGTGGGAGGCAAAGGGATCGACTTACTGTGGTAGATGTCTTGGAGAGAACCTCCCCCGCAGTACTCCATGGCGATCCACAGCTTATCTCTACGCGAGTAACTGCCAAAGTACATGACAATGTTCTTGTGTCTGCACTCCTTCATGATGGCAATCTCTTTCTGAATAATCTCAACATCATCCCCTGTAGTGGAGAATACCGGTATGTGGATAAGAAAATGGGTGGGAGAATATTAACTTGTCTCCTAGTCCTTACGTATCTCTTAGGGATCTAGAATGATTTGGGGGAAGGTTTCCCACAGAGTGCTTTAGTAAAAAGTTGCGCATGTACAAGTACATATACATGTACGTGTGTATTGTAGAGATGAACATATCGTAGCGTTACATGTTCACAAAATTATACAATATGTGTATGGTACATGTGTATCCTGGGCACACAAGCTTTGAAACTGATGAGGGTTGGATGAGGTCCCATGATACCGCGTTTGGTTCCACCCACTACACTGGTCCAGGGGCTTCAAGAGATGTTAGGACATTCAATATCTCTTCCTTCAATTAGATCAATGGAAAAGAGTGGAATCAACAAGACGCAATGCATCAGCGTGGGCCCTGAGCACAATTCCAGTGTAACACTCCGCATTGAAAGTCAAAAAAGAAACATCACTGAACACTGCCAATATGTGCAGTAAAATGTTCCACTGGTAAACTGTGATTCAAGGAGATATATATGTACATGTATGTACATCTTTGCATCTACATAAAGCTTTCAATTCTTCATTCAAATTGGTTCACATCTCTCTTCTTGCTTTCATCTTTTACACAGGTCTGTAATTTAAAGAGCCAAATAAATGGATATACAACATGTACATCTGACAAAATGTAGTAAATTGAAAAAGTTGACTACAAACTTGCCTGGATCCACTTTGATCACCTTCAAAGCAGCAAGGTTGCCATCGGCAACCATCTTGGCCTGTAGACAAAAGATAAAAATGTAGTAAGAACATACCCAATGTATTTGTAAAACTGGTGATGGGAGGAAGATAAGAAATGCAGACATGCAAACCAGCGCAGTACGGTGCAACCAAAACAGTCGCATCTACGCCTGAAAAATGATGATACGCAACCAAATGTTTAATTCTTATCGAAATGGTGACCATGATTTGTGCCCGCTGGTCGCCCACCTTATCAGTCAGACATGTATTTCACGAACAACTGCTGCCCAGTTTTCTTCTACGTACACCGTGCAATGTGTCTCTATGACCACTCGGTTTTTTCTCCGTCTTACTACATGTACATGTATGTACACAGCATGAGCCCACGTTAATTATGTAGCTTAAATGTACAATGTAGTGGTACACACATGCATGCACAGATCGTAGGTACATGTATCCGAGTCGACTGGTTGGGGCTGCAAGCTGTATAGTGTATAGGAGCTGAGACGTTTCACGTATTCATTAGATGCACTTGCAGTCTATGCACGCCAATATTTCAGAGCAATAAACTTGTTTCAGTCCCAAATCTAAGTTTGAAACCAAAAGGTTTCAAGCTTCCCTTGGTCCGGTCCAGTCCCAGGTACAGTGCTGTACGAAATACTAAAAAGTAAAAGAACAAACACGCCTCGTCTTTTCTTTCAGCTGTTTTTTTTATATAATTGGTCATCACTTTTTATTTATTCCACAAGCACAAATCCAAAGCCTGTCCATCCTGTGGATAATTGACAGAATAACGTTTCTGTGTGTTTTGTCAGTTTTTGTACATATATGCAACTTGTGTATTTTGAAAATGTGCGTACAGTATGTACAAAAATCAGCCTGGAGCCTAACATTTTTTTCCTAGGAGCCAATGGCTCCTCATTTTAATTTTCTCCCTAACGGCACTGATGAAAACCATTACTCACTGATCTGCTCATGCAAACATATTGGTACATGTATTGTGCCTAACAAATGCTACACATACATACATGTACCGGTACTTGAGGTTAATTCCGCAATGACCCACATTTTCATTTTACAGTACGCATAAAAACCAAGACCCCAAAATGACTTCCTGGACAAATATACTAACGTGTACATGTAGACACTCCCTTTAATGTATTTAATTTGAAACTATTACCCTGTTGAAATACAACATTGAATTCAACTGGTCCTCAAAACATCTGACAGACAATGTAGCACTTTGGATCTGTTTTTGGTTTTCAGGCCACATAAAACTAATTCAAAGTTTCTCATCAGCACCCACATCAGAAAACTGATGCCCTGTCCAATTTCATTTCATTTTGAAAAAAAAAAATTATTTAAACTATCTAGGAAACGTTCAAACTGTTGTCAAAAAGGCAACTAATGATTTCAATACACCCCTCTGTGCGTGGCCTGTACATGTACACAGTGCACACTGCTGCAGATATATGTTCGAACTGGCGCCCAAAAACAAAGGGCCATCTGGAAATGGCAAAATACGAGGCCATATCTGACTTTCACAGCCATAGCTTGAAATGACACATTAGTCTATTATGGAAGTGGCTGCAGCTGCTTGGCATAACGTAGAGTCTAATATGCCACAGCCTGTAATTAAGACAATGCCTGGTGAACATTTGCTTGTGATTTTGTAGCAGTTCATGGACACTTCAGAAAGTATGTCACAATGGTGTTCAGTGTGTTAAGGATTCTTGCCACTCTAAGTGGTGTTGAAAGGGTGGTTTGGATGGGTTGTGGTAGACTCTGCTACTTTTATGGACTTGTTTATCAATTTTTCATCCAGTATATTTGACAACAGTTACAGTAGCTGCTACCAGTAATGTGTAATCACATGTTGACAGCAGCATGCCAGCCCCACCTTTTAGACCAGAGACCCTTAAAACTGAAATATTCCCAGGCCAGTGCTGACAGAAATACAGAAGGCTATTCACTTCATTATTTACTTTCGAGCCACCAAACTACATGTTAATTGGGGGACAAAGTTTAATACACTGGGGGAAAAAACTGCATACCTCCTTTTTGCGTGTGTCTGTGTGTGCCCTTTTTTCTTACTTTGCTTTAAAATTGAAGTACTGTACATGTACATGTATATTAAAAATGTACACAGCAGAACAGTGACATCAATGGGCTCTGTCCAGGAACAAGAGAGGGATCTTTCTGCCCAGTAAGTCCCTCTCCCCACCCCTCTTTGTGGTGTGTCACAAAACATCACATTTCTTTCCCCTGAATCAAGGAAGAGGCATCTGTGACGAGTCCTGTGCATGTACATTTACAAGTATCAGTGCCATGAGTCATTGATCGTGGTGTGCCAATTCAGTGATGAATCACATGCATAACTCTAACTGTCCTCAATCCTCCAAGTTTACATACATTCTAGGTGGAGTACATGTACAGGTGTGTAGACATACTACATGTACATGTAGTCATGTACAGGTACATACATGTAAAATACATGTAGTGCCGCTATTCTGTGGGTCCTGTGCAGTACATGTACCGGTACATGTATGTGGGCAAGTACTTCGGTATTCATGAGCATTGTAAACAACACAAATATGAACACTTGCCCAGTCTGTAGCAGCCAAAATCCTGTCAAAACTTACGAGTAGTGAATGTGCCCAAGAACATGTACAGCACACATGTACATGTGTATACCGGTAAATACCGGTACATGAAAAATGTACATCATTTAAAAACATGCTGTTTAGGATTTTCAACTGCTGCCGACCAACATGTACATGTACGTACAAGTACAGTACATGCAGATGTACACATATTTTGACTGGACTAAACTCACGCTTGTCAATAATTCACTAGGAGGATTCTCCATCAAGCAGGTTTGAGGTCGGTAGAGCACAGCCACTGCGATTTCACATAAATAACGCTCTTTAAAAGATGAAGTACTGTACATGTATACGGTACCCGGTGCATGTTCTATGTGCATATGTGAAAGAAAATGTTGAACATTTGGGGGCCTTTAAACAATCAAGAAGGTTCCAGTAAACAATGTCTGAAGCAGTCCAATATCATTCCTTCACATTCAACTAAATGTACCGGTACATATACCCAGTACATTACATACTGTAGGCACAAAACAACCGGGGTGTGACAAGCTTTTACAATCATTGATCTGTTTATCTGGAATGACTGACCATAATACATTGGCCTACATGTATGAGCATTGGTGGAATGCATTCACATGCATGTACAATATGCGTGTAGGAAGAAGTGCTTTTACCAAGACAAATGTACCAGTACTCTATAAATGTACAGTAGGTTATCGGTATGTCAATATGCATCCAAGGTTGCTGAAAACTGAGTGGCAGTTTATTAAAAAAAAATAAAAAGGCCTGCACATGAACAATACATGTAAAAGTAACAATACATGTAACAGAGCACGTAGACAAGATTGTACCAGTAATTGTGTCTTTCAATGAAGTTGGGGGTACGTTTTGTGACAGATGGGGTCCTACCGAGTACAGGTACACTGTAAATGTAAAAAATTGTTATTTTTGATGTTGGTTAACTGTGTTGAACGTTTCAGAACATTTTGAAGTTACTCAAAGGCATGTTACCGTACACGTACACGTCTTTAAGAGAAACTGGTTTCCCAGTGACACCACATCAGTTTGGTGACAATTTAGATATTTAGGGCACTAGTTTCACATCAACAGCAAAGAACGCAACATGACATTCTGAACCTGCATCTGAATTATTTCCCTAGGCCGGCAGTAATGCAAACTGATAGAAAGTGGCTGCTGATGCTGGCATGCAGTGTATATATGTAGGTGACACCAAGAATCAGCCACAGCCAACGCAGCCAAGTAAATTTGATTGTGGCTTAGGTACATGTATTTCAAGTATGGCCCCCCAAATTAGCCATGAGTTAGATTACAGATGTACACAAGTACATCAGGGACATGACCTTGAACATTTAAGCAAAGTTCTCCTCTAAATTTCTTGGTAAGGAGATGTACAATGTACTGTAAGCGAAAACATGTTACCCAGCAGCGAATGCTTGAAACCCTCGGTGTTAAGAAGGTAATGATGCTTTTAAATGAGACAAGATGTAAACATCTCTCTAAAGAGAACTGGTCAACTTCCAACCATTTTTTACTGCTTGTGAGTGTGGGAGCCAGGGTACAGGAGGCAGTCTAGTAGTAGTACATGCACCTGAGTCCCATTCATTGCCATTTATACGTATGGGGCTGAAAGGCCACATGTACATGTACTTTGAAAATGTTCACCCAACAATTCATTCATTCTCAAAACCACCCCAGGAAAGAGTTCCATAGACGGACAAGGCTTGCCCCTGTGCACAAACCTATGAGACTTGTCTGAAAAGACCTACGTCTTCTAGTCCAAGTAACTTGGACTCTACAAATCTCCTTTGTGTTTTGGCCAAGCCCACATTCTGAAAGATGAAACTTCTCCTGTATGTCCTGCCATACGCAGCCCTGTGTCACGTAGCCATTAAGCCTAGACCTACATGTACATGCATGATGCAGGCCCTATTTATTGCGTACGCCTATGGCAGAAAAAGCCTTTTATTTCTATGGGGTTCGTGGGAGCGTGGCGGACGATGAACCCCAATATTATTCCTAAAAAATGTATTTTGATTCTTCTAGAGTAAACAAACGCTGCAGACAGTGTTAATAAATGAAAAGAATATTCGCAAAGTATCAACAATAGCGATCTATCATGGTGGGTGGGTAGGCCCTAATTTTTTTACCTTGTACACATCGCCGTAAGTTCCACTTCCAATTCTCTGTAATAATTCGAAATCCTCCAAGGGATTTTTATTCTGCACAAGTCTCGAATTCATGGTCTTCCTGTCAGCGCATCAGTATCCACAGGAAAACGGTATAAATCCTGGCAAAAGAATGATCACTATCGAGGAGTTGAAGACCTAACTGTCATTTTCACAGGTTCGACGAGTTTACACTTCCTGGCTGCGCTTCTGATCCAACGTACGATTGCAATACACAATACAATGCATGCAAGCTATGCGCTATGGCCCGAAAAATGTATCGCTGGCGCCCAAGAAATTCTGTTCCTACAAAGCGAATATTTGTTGGGAACCAATTTCTAGCGTGACACATTCATTTCGCACGGTGGCGCTGTTAAGGCATACAGGCACCTCGTTTACGTACGTACACGGCGCTCGCGTGCGCGGCGGCAGGGGTCTTGCGGAAAGAATAACTTGAGCCTTTTAATTTGAACAAGTCAAAAGCAATAGCGACATGACCCATCATGAAACGATGTGTCAGGTACACTGTGCCCGTTCAAAAGATGGGTTTCACGGTATTTCTTCTAAAAAGTGACCCGTCCCTTGTTGGCGAATGCATGTATTACAAGTGGAAAAAAAAATCCAAATTTTTCTCCACACTTCAAGAATTAGAAATTTACAGTTAAAAAAAATTGTGTTCATTCCCTGAGTAACTTGGTAGCGTCACACAAACTTTCTTTCCTTTTTTAAAATGTATATTACTAGACGAAGTCTCTATGCTTGGAATTGAAGTATATCGAGAAATGGGGCGAATTTTTCCTCCTTGTGTTAAAATAATTAAAAGGACAGTGAAATATATAAGACTTAGAAAACGTATGATCAACTAGGTTGATTAATGTATCAACTACGTTTATTTAAATTTTGTTGGTCGAATCTCAATGTACAATGAACGAATATTTCTAAATGTAATGGTAAGCATAATTCCAAGATGGGACACATTAAATGGTCTATTTTGGTTTGAAGCCGAGTGGAATGATTCTCCTCTCAACCTGTCACAGGGCAAACAGTGGCTGATGATTTCTTTGCCAAGGCCGCTGACTAAAAATTTAAAATTGTCCAAATGCAAGTAATTACAAACAGAAAGAAGTAGCGTATGATATGTCGCCTATTTTACACAATTCAGTTTGAGACAGGCTTCACGGCATTTTTATTCTGTTATTATGTATAGGCCTATTCATGTAAATTGGGCCATTCTATAAATTCAGGGTCCAAAGTGTAACATTTTTGTGTCCCTAATACACCTGACCAGTGTAATTTGACAAATATCAATGAAATTGATTTCAAACTATTTCTATTTATTTGGATGGGAATTTGCGCGCGAGCTCATTAATATTTTGTGATCCCACGGGGTTTTTACAATAAGAAATACCATAAATATTTCTATGATGCCATCAGGAGGCATCATAGAAATATTTCTAGAGATCCCGATTTTGGGACTGATAGTTTCCAGTTTGGGGTATTTCTTTCACAAAAAGCCCCAAATTGTGGGCCTATTTTGGATACTAGAGGCGGGCGGCTACATTCAGAAATGAGCGCTTAGTTTTACTGCTGTTTTGGGGTATCTTCCTCGAAAGGTTAATAAAAAAGATTTTCGTGGCTAACCCCCATGAATTGAAACGAAAAGTGATCTTCTCAGGCCACAATCTTGAATTTCCAGTAAAAAAAACAGAGGCCAACCTCTTCACGAGAGTCAACAGGCGGCGCTATTTCGGTCCGATTTTGCACCGTTTTCTATGGGCGCGTATTTGGTGTAGTGCAACCCTCTAGCTTTACTATGAGCCCTACGGTTGGCAAACTAGTACTAAGCGTTTGCTGCGTACGTAGAATACAGAGTGCGCACTCTAGGGTTTTTTATAGAGCTCTATGGTATCCCTAGAAATTTCAGCAACTGACAGAGTTGCGCTACTGTAACTAGTATGATTTCAAGCTGGTACAGTCGAAAGCATACAAGAAGCGCACATTTAATGCAAGGTCATGTTTAAAACAAGGACAATTTTAGGTTTCAAGTCTTAAATTTTTTGTAAACTCCCAAGCACCTTGTTGTAATAGTGCGGTGTTGTGCGCTATAATGATTTATGATGAACTCGTATGACCAAAGATTGTATAGCGCCGCGCAGCGGCGCTATACAATCTTAGGTATGACGGCTGAAGAAAAGAATAAATAAAAAAGTACAAAGATATTTTATAGGCCTAATGATTGAAATTTTAAAAATGCATTTTTAAATAATTTCATCACACAAAATAAAAATATAAAGTTTTTAAATTTTTAAACAAAAATCTCCTATGTTTTAAAACACATTTAGGCAAATAGTTAGAATGATTTTAAAAGTATTTTTCCCATATCAGATATGCAAAAAGATGGCTGCGCCCTTTCGTCATGTTCGTGTGCGTCTGTTTGTAACGACCTGACGACACGACGTAGACTGACGAAGTGCTATCTTGAGTGAATTTGTTTTGTTTATCACTGCAGTTTAATCAAGTCTTTTAAAGTCATGGTCTGTGAAAAGTGTAAGTAAATTAAGACAAAATCGTAGGCCTACGTTAGGCCAGGTCATGCAGGTCACAATTACAGTGACTTAGCCTACGACTTACTTCTTTGCAGACATGGCAGATCAGACCAAGCGTACCAAGTCATGACTTGCCCTTTTTTGGAGGCCTATCTATGGATTCGAGGTTGCGGTTGGCCATTAAGCGGATGTATGCGCAGTGTGTGATGCACGCTAAGTGCTTTAACATGTTTAAGGCACAACTGTGTGTGCTAACTTAAAGCGGGCCCTACTTCATTTTATCAGTTTGTGCAGTTAGATCAGGGTTCATCACCCTGTTCCTATTATATAAGGGAACAAATTCTCCTTTTTCGAAACAAGTTGTTGGTGTTGTCTTCTTTCATATTAGAAAGAAAAGCAAACAGGGTTTTGAGGGAAATTTTTAGGTAAAACGGCAGTACACATGACCGCCCCGAAGAGCTGTAACAACAAATAAGCGAATGTAGTCCGGTTCCTTTACTTGGATGGAAATTTGTTTTGATGAATCCCAAATGCCTGAGTCGGGCAACCAGACGAAAAACAAAATGGCATGATTCGCCTGAGTGGTTGTCTTTTTCCAAACTCGGATTAGAAATTTGAAGTTTTCTTGTTTTAATATTGTCAAAATCTACCTAAACTAGGCCTATCAGGATTGAGTAATGGTTCCTTAAGGTCAAAATGTTAGTTAGTTTGAGAAAGTGGACTTTGTTTCCTTATAATAATATAGGAACAGGGTGCTAATGGTAATGAACCCCATTAGATCAGATCAGTTCACTTCAAGATTCTACTCTGAGTATATTGGGATGCTACAAATTCAAATTGCCTTGTTCAACATTTAGTCACGGTTGGTGACAGTCACAGTAGAGTCTAAGTTACTTGGACTTCCTAAGATTTCACTTTCTCAATCAAATCTCCTGTCCAATCCGTCCAAACTGATTCAGGGTTTTGAGACCATCATGTGACTGACTAACATTGGTTTTTGAAAAAAACAGAGCTTGATTTTGTTTTCAGTGATACAGAAAACTAATTGCCTTTGGCTAGGTCATGTTGGCCTTTACAATTTATGCAATTGGGTCTATTCAAAATTGTGTTCCACATGCAGGTGAGAAGAAACTTGGAAAAGTTATAACTCCTGACCCATGGAAATCTGGAGCCAGGAACACAACTGGTAAGAGAGGGTATTCTTCATGTCGCCACAGACATCACAGAGTTTTCTCAAAGTTATACCAGAATCATCCTGGATTTGGCATGTTTTTTAATTTTAATGCTGATTTGATAGTTTCTTTAACCCTAACCCCCCAAGGGTTGCTGGCCCTAACCTTCCCCATTCACACAAAGTTAAACACCCATATGGGACTTTGTGGACAGAGGCTGTTGGACTTTGTTTTTCTGAGGTATGCCAAACCCAATGCAAAAGCCAGCTGTTATGGGCCCACCAGACCTATCCCCACAGAATCAAACACTTTACTACTGTTTAATTCTGCGTGGTTGGGGAAGGTTAGGGTTAAATGTACACGATGGACATGATGAAAAGTTAAATACATGTACTTTTACTTTCAAATAATAAATAGCCTGGGGGAAAATTAGTGAATTAAAAAAATGAAGCTCTAGCCAGTTCCTTATCTACACTCCCAGTCCCCTTAACTGGTTAAATTCACTTCTACCAGTGCATAAACATGGAGGTAGACTAAATTTAGCCTGCTCTTTACCTTTTCTATTCTCTCCATTGCTGTCCATGTTGCAGATTTGCATAATAGGGACTGTAACTGTGCATTGGTGTCTTCCCTTTTTTTTTCCAGAGAGTGGTGGGCGGAAGGTTGGAGAAAACAAGCTACTTACTGGCAAGAAAGCAAGGTCTTTGTGACGTCCTCTCTGAATCCTCCCCTGAATGCAGAAATATATCAGTTATTATTTTATTATGCCCAAAAGTTTGCATGTTTCTATGAGCTTGGGGCATTTTTGCATTTGTTCTTAAATCTTTCGCTATGCAGAGTGGGAATGACTCAAGTCCTGTGCATCAGGATTTGACAATTTCGGGTTAATCAGTTTACCACAAGTGCATCATTATACACGTAAGCACCTACATAATTTAAGAAATGTCCTTGGTCTCATGCAAGTGCACCTATTCCAAAACTCTACTCAACACCACGTTCTATGATTTGAATGCTGTGACATCTGTTGGAACAAAAGTTTCCATCTTCTTTTTGATTGAGTGGTTTTATCACAAAACATGGCTTTGGTCCTGCATAGACACATGTACATCAAGTCCTGTCTTGTGTACAATCACAGTTGAAATACTGCACTGCCTATTGTTCAGGAAGAAAATGGACATGTCTGGGCTTAGCTTCAGAGTAAGGCTGTGTCCAAAACGGGCTTCCAGAGCTACAGCTAGGTCTATTGTCTGCGCGTCTCCACGTACTTTCAATGGAGTGAAAACCAAGACCTAGCTGTAGACAATGGATTCGGATGCAGCCTAAATGTATGAAAGAAAAACAGGCTTGCAATAAGCACATCAGTAAATGGCATGAGCAGAAAGTACTAAGTAGCATCAATCAGTCATTATTTTCAATTTTCATACTGTTATTTCCACCTTAGATATAATCCTTACACCACACAGTTTAACAAGTGTCGGATATGTAAGCAGTCTGTGCACCAAGTCGGCTCACACTACTGCCAGGGATGTGCTTATAAAATAGGTAAGAGACACACGGTAACTATTGGCCCCTGTGGGCGGCTTGCACTAGGAACCCACTTGCACCATCTTGAGTTACCTCTGCACGAAAACTGTGTGTTACCTGTTATGAGGTGGGCCCTTAGGATGAGGAGTCGGGTCGACATGGTGGTTCTTTCCCTGCTTTTCACCTCTGCGGCCTGGGTTCGATTCCCGGCTCGGTGCTGAAGTGGATCTGGTTTCCAGTCCCAACTTGATTCTGTGGGTTTTACCCAGAATATTCCTCTGAGGTTGTCCTCCCACCTCTAAAACTGTAACTGCTTCTCACTGTCTCCTCTTGGATTTCCTCAGGCTCACAAACTGTACAGTGACCCCGGGCGTTTTTGAGGGATCCTTGGTTTCATTACTAGAAATACTTAATAAATAACAACACGATCATTCCCCCCCCCCCATTTTGGTACTGCACATCAGAAAACTGATAACTGTGACACTGTGTAGCGACATGAAGAGCAAGAGAACTGAAGGAGTAAAAGTGAGGGAATTACGTAAAGAACAATATCCAACAGTTTCTTCAAACCTGTATTGAGGTTGACAGTGGAAATCACTGAGAATGGAAGGAAAGCAGAGACATGTAAATATACGCATACAAGTATCCATGTTTTCCATGACTTCCCCAGTTCCAACCATCAATCTGTGCAATTGAAAAAAAAAAACCAAGAAGCCACACTCTTCTCCGGCTTGAATATCCACGCCGCCCTTTGGGGGTTAGGTCTTGTTTCCACAACAGTAATGTAAGTGAACAACTGAGTAATATGTTCACTAGTATGAAACAGAAAAAAAACGAGTGGTGGTTTTGTGTCCTTCTGTTCTTCTAAAATTATCTTCTGTGTGCTGTTTTGCAGGAATCTGTGCAATGTGCGGCAAGAAAATCCTGGACACAAAGAAGTACAAGCAGACATCAGTATAGCTAGTGCATCGGAAATGCTCTTTTGACGTTATTTTAACTTCAGGGCTACCCCTCAAGTATTGCCCACTTTGTACAGTGAACAGAACCTTTTTTGAGCAGTGTTAGTCCCCACTGCAGCAGAACACTGCGAGAGGCTCTGGGATTTGCACAAATCAGAGCATGCGATGCATCAGCCTTATCTGTTGTTCCATCATTATGGACAGATCTGATGGCTTTTTCTCCATTCACTGCGAAGCACTGAAAATAGGTGGTGCCCATTGACTGTAAAAAGGTACTGTAAAGTCTGAGGTGCTTCTTCTATTTATAGATGCATCAAACATATCAAAGTTGTGACTATGTATCAAGAAAAATCAAACTTTTTGCAAATTCTGATGCGTATGCTGAAAAAGGAGCAATTTATAGTCACCTGATAAATGCGAATGTTGACAGAGTACCTGAAAATCAACAAAAAAAGGCATTATGCGATTGTAGTGGCTACCAGACCTCAAGGTGTCTCCTAATTGTCCATGTCTTTTTGATTATGTTAGCCCTTGTGTGACGTGACCAGTGTACACGAAGTTGAGACATCACAAGACCAATCAACAGAATGCTTTTGTTGCAGTTCGTTTGAATAGCTTGTGACTTGAATTCAGACTGGAGGTCTTCTGTTGGTCTATGTGAAGGTCTTAAGCGGTCTCGACTACAACACTGGGTCACATGACAGCCTTGCAGAAATGCTAGCACAAGGGTTAAGAGTCACATTTGTCATTTTTGGGGTGTATGTTGTATGTTTTGGGGATGTATATTCAGTAAAAAAATTGTCAAATTTGTGGCTTGACAAAACTGATGCTCAACTGTAACTATGAAATGTTAAAAGAGTTGGGTCCAGCCATGTTTGAGGGCCAGTTCTCTTTCTTTGAACTTGGCTCAACAATATCTGCACAGGCCCAAAGGATTTCAGAATTTCAAACAGAGGGAACAAATTTTTTGTCAGGATTTCTTTCAGGATGTTACTGGTTACGGGGCCACAGAGGCAACAGTTTTCTGTTTTTGCATACCCATGTGTGTACTGAAATGGTGTAAAGACATGTTTGACATTGTATCTTGCTGAAGTGCTGTTCCTGAAAAGCGACTGATAGCTTGACCCAGACCACGATGTACCTGTTCCAAGAGCTTACTGTGTAATAACTTCTGTACAAAACAAATTATTTCTGAGACCTGCATGCAGGGCGGTTTTCTTCAAGGGCTAAATTCAAAATGACAGTAGACCGATTGCGTCCGGTAAGTCACATGACCTATAGTTGGTATCAAATATCCAACAAGCCGATGGTCGGTACTGAACTCGAACTAAAGTGCCAAGTACTATAGCAAAAATCGGCTTTCTTTTTACGAAGCAACACGTAGAGCACACTTTGCTATGGGAGGATACCATGTTTGTTGATGTTTGATACCTGCCGTAGGTCACATGACTTAGCGGGTGCATTCTGTCCACTCCAACTGATACCTTTTGAAGCAGAGTCATTGCCCCATTGTGTTGTATTTTAATGCACTCTCCTGATCTCTGTGGGACTGACAGTGGGTTCCTTATTGCACATTCTGGCATGAGTCGGAAAACTGCAAACCTCTGATACGTGATGAGCACTTTTTCCCCTTGTACATTGATATTGAGTAGCAATCCCACTCTCGGGTGACCGATGCTCTATGGCAGTCGTGTGCAACACTGGATACTGATTTAAACATCTCAACATACTTACTCTGTAGTTATGGGGACTTCCAACACATTGAAACATGTATTTGTCCCCACAACTCGGTCTTTACTTCCTTAGCAAAAGGAAGTGTCTCCTCAACATGGTAAAGGCCTGCTGTTCACACACACTCTAGGTTTTGTGGGTTTAAAACCAGACACCCAACAAAAAAAAATCAGGCCACTTCACATTTTTTATTAGATTGGAGGCATTGCTTGTGGTTTAATCATTTCCAGAACTGCTGAAGGTGCATAATGAATAGTAAAATGGTGAATTAAAGATGCATCAGCTGAAATTCACTCACACCTCATTAACGTCAGTGGCTTATCTCTCTAGAATAGTGAAGGAAGCTCACAGCATTGTGGGTAGCATATTACCATAATCCACACAAATACGGGTACAGTGTTTGCGCACATATTGTGCACATAAAGTTTTGAACTTAGATCACAGGCTACATGATATCTAGCCAATAACATCTCAATAGAGATTAGCAAATGCCAGCATCCATCTGTAGCAGTGGGTACCAGTGAATGTTAAAGAATACATGTACCCCCACACACTGCAAAATATACCTTCGGTATCAACAACATACAGAAGTGTATTTTTGAGACCTTTCTGGAGAGCCTGATCTATTCATTATCTTTGTTTACATGTACATATTAATTAATAATTATTCATACATGTGTTAACTACAAATCAGGAATATCTCTGCCTCCAACTTTGCAGGCTAAGGTGTAACAGTAAGGTCCCATTCAAACAGGCAAGTGATAAGCAGAGACAGCAACAGAAATATGAAGTGCGATGTTTTACATTTACACTCATATAATGTGGAAACTGGTCGGTATGTCAGGTTTTTTTTACTGGCCTTCCGTGATAACAACAAGCACTCAGAAGAATTGAAGACATGACAGGGAGGCGCTCAACTTTGCCACTCAATCCATGATGTAACTAATGAGACCGCCGACTGGCCAAAAATTTCACTGCTGTGTCTTTCAAAAACTGCACATTTCTATGTACAGTCGTCCTATTCTGTGTTTTGCCCACTCTCCTTTACGTAGAAAGTTGTTAAGGTTATCGCTTGCTGTGTAAATAGGCCCTAAGAGTGTTACAGCTTGGCCTTTAGACAACACTTAATAATGTTGATGTCACTGTATGCACTCGGCATCTACAGTAAAGGTGTGGCTGCCATTGTTTTGATACTTGTTCCTCCTCTATGAATGACAGGTGTCAATTTGTGTATCCAGCATAGTTCATTTGTGAATAAATGGTTAACGCCCCAAGTAGGTATGTACTGGGAGTTTCATTACATTTTCCAGTTCATTTTCTGTGAGTGATAATACACTACGCCAAAAAAAGTTAAGGACCGTTTTGCATTTTGTCATTTGACTTTTCCCTGAAACTGTCCATTTTGAGAAAATGTTCATTTGATGTTTTGAAACATTTGGAACATTTTTTTATTCCAATGAGAACACCATCCAGACAAACAAAAAATGAAAGAACTAGACCCCTTTCATTGCTTGGCAAAATTACAAGTTAAGAAAAAAGTGAGCCTTAACTTTTTTTTAGAAGTATATTAAGCAACATAGTGGCACTGGAGAAATTCCACAATCAATTTCAAAGCAGTTTCATTGATTTTTCTGGAGAAGAAATCTTCAGCTGCTTTCTAAAAAAGTCTTTATACATGTATACACAAATGCCGTTTTGTATTGCAGTGGAAACTAAATTATGACATCGCACCAGCATTTCAAAACACTTCTCATCTAGTTAAAAAAAACCCTGAATACTGAACAATTTTGTGGATCACATTGCTGACCTGTTGGGTTTATATCCATCATTACAGTAATAACATACACTGAAGAATAGAAACCACTAAATGTGACAAATGAGCACTCTGCTTTTCACCACATCATGTAATACAGCTTATTTTCAAAACTGCTTTTTAATGCCAAGATAAAAGAAAATTCTTTATTAGGGCGTTTTGCTGATTAACCTAGACACAAGAATTTACGACGAAGATGTTTTGAGAAGTGGTCTTTGGAAATGTGAGAACACAAATAACCTTGACGCATTTAACCGTTTCTAAGAAAAAATTGTTTACAAAGCACAAACAAGATGGCAAATACCAGTTATAAAAATAGACATTAAAAAATTTGAAAAAGACAAAACAATTTTACAAAAATAAGTTTTAAAAGAGAACCCCCATTTGACTTACAGGCCAAAAAGTCTCTCAGTTTCACCAGACACAAAGTGACAGAAAAATCTGCAAACTCTCACAGGTTGGTGAGAACTTTGCATGCATGCTCTTTTGGCAGCCATGGCTCGCACTTTTAACATACAATTTTACTTTCAACTGCCAGCCACACCAAATGCAGTACTCGGAGAGAGTTCTGAACACTACATGCTGGCTTGCAACCTCCAAATGTCTTTACTCTGGGGAAGATTCAATGGAGATGCTGAAGCGCCTATTCAAAGCACTGGGATAACCAAAAAGAAATAAAGTGTAATACTGCACTTTAACGTGACTCTTCTCTAAACTTGTTCAAAGAAAGTTGCACAGTTTAAGGCTGTTGTGCTTCCAATATGCAATATTACAAAACGTTCACAGTCAGATCTGTTTGGATTAAAAATGTGCTCAGCTTTTGGAAATCAGCGACTGACAAATTTACCAAAATGTCAGAAATGTGACCCAACCTAACAAAAAGTTGTTTAGCATAGGCACAGCCATCTTTTCGTAAGTGTAAAGGTCAGTGTGGCAAGATACCGGTCTACTGTGAGTACATTCTTATGTTGTTACAGCAAACCTGCCTAACAAAGTGCGTTGGAATTTGCCAGAGCCACTTTTGAGTTACAAGTCCTTCAAAACAATCCTGCACAATGAAAATCAATCATTTTCCACCCACATACACAGAATGTAATGTCCACTTTACATCATAATGCCAAACTGAGTGATACCTCAACACAAAGATTCAGTTTACCCTTTCTAAAGCCAAATTAAACAAATTACTCTCTTAAGACTCATTTCTTGGGATCCAGTCACAAATTTGCCCTTGCATGAAGTATTCAACGAGCCGTGGATGGAGGGACTGACTTCCTTCCAAAGCCTGCCCTGTGACTTGCCTCTGACCCTTTGCAAACTTTAGATGTACTGGCTAGAAAGAGCAGCTCAACAATGCGTCTACAAACAAGGACATATACAATTGTGACCCACCATCCCAAAACCAGGCTGAAGTACATAGCTGTTTATAAGGTTAATGATGGCTTTTTCAGGGAAATGAAGTCACCTACTTCAGCCTGGTTTGGGGAGAGTGGGTCACAAGTTATCTCCCGACAATCTTCATGAACAACGTGGTACCATTAACAGCTTCTCGCACATTTCCTCTACCTGATGGCTTTGGCCAATGAGGCCAAGACCACCGATGTCATATCACATGGCTGGAGCTTGTTAATGGATACAATCAACTGATCTCCATGAAACAAATCTGCATGGACCATTGCTTGTTAGGAAGTCAGACCAACATTATTCTAACTCTGAATTACTCAAATTCACTGAAAATGCTGAAATATTTGATTAAGCACAATCGGGTTATCAAGATAAAAATTAAATGAGGAATTTCTGAAGTTTGGTTGTGGTCATTTCCATGATGACTTTTGATGTCAAATCCCCCATGCAGTTGACCTCTTCAGCTGTTTGGAAATGTCATACTCTTTCTTAAGCCAAGAATAAACTCATTTGCCGGCCGTGCAACCTAATTAGCACATCAACAAAGTGATGAAGCATTCAACATTTACACTTTGCATATTGCAAAGCAGAAAACAAAGGTCATGCATGTTAAATTCCTCCGCAATGAAAATGCACTTTGTCTTAATACATATATACAAAAGAAAAAATATGGATAAAATATGCGCCAATGGGAAAATATTAAAGACAGCAGATTAACTGAATGTGTAGCACTTAATCATTCATAAATGACAAAAATAACAATTTTGCTTCCCCTTTAAATGATAAACTCAGGCTGCAGAAAATCTGAATTGTGAATAACTAATTCTACAACATTCAATGCAAATGTGAAAGTTTCTGCTGAGCATAATGTACAATTGAATAGGGTACAGCACAGGTACCGGGTAGAGTGTGAACAGTGTTACAAATATCTAAAAGACACGTTATACACATGTACAAGTACATATATGTATAATGTACATGTACAGTCCCTGTATGTATTGCTAGTTGATGCACTGACCAATCTGCACACACAATTATCTTGAATTTCTTTAAGTTCATGATCCCAGCTAGACACAACATCCCATGTATGCTTGGTAAGGCACTCAATCACCTCATCCACCAGTACGAATATTTGCAATTCCACTTCCACGAATTCTAGCTGCAATTTGTTTTAAGTAACTGTCTAAGACTGTAATTAATCACTAACAACGAACAACTTGACAGAGATGCTCTGAATGTTTGGAGATCTGAAAATAGCATACCACAAACACTGCTGAAAGGAAGAAAAAAAAATTCAGATGAGAGATTTGTACAGACAACAGGAGTTTTCCCGTAATATAACAGCAGTCAGAGAGTAATAACATGTATGTCCTAAAAAGTGAAATTTAGCCGAGAAAATTCTGAAGCATTTACTTAGAAAACACTTGGGTTGTTTTCAGACAAGCCTCACGGGTTTGTGCATAGAGGCATCAAGTCCATATATGGAAATTTTTTTCATACATGAAAATGTATGTATTTATACATAAGGTTCCAAAGAAATCAACTTTTTTGTATCAAGCACACTTCAAAAAAATAAAAATCTACACATACCTATTTTGATATCACAGAAATATTATGGAATATTTCCATTGTTGTTTTTGGTCAATGAGGAACAAGAGCATTACCCCCTCCCCCATTCTGGTTATGTGACTGTGGCAGCAACGAGACCCAAATATTCAAGACCTTTTGGTTTGGTAACCAGACTACTTGGGGGAATTCTGGAGGATCCACGTGTACACTTGCATTGAAGAGGTATGAAGTTTATGTTTTAACATAAATTCATATTCAGGTGACAATTACCAACATCTTAAAGATCTCAGAAGTTCTGAATTACTTTTCTGTTATCTTCACAATGACAGCATTTTAACAAACACCACACATTACAACCTGTATTCTATTTAACATTTACAAGCTTCTACTTTTTTGGTCTGTTTGTTTCAACTTTGGCCAGTTGCTTTTTTTTTGGCATTTTTTTCAATATAGCATGCACAATTTATGAGGCCAAATTCGCCATGCAATAAAATTAAAATAACAAATTGAAATCAAAATTTGTGACAAAAATTTATAACAAATGTTCCAACCATGCAGACCCATTACCCCCTCCCCAATTAAACAAACTCTACTATACATCTGTCTACTGCAAAATCTAAGTGGATTTGAGTTACTTTTTCAAAAGAAGCAACAGGAAAAAAATTTTGTTGCTCTGGATACAACACCAACACAACATGATTTTCACTTCAAAATCTACACTGTGTGTCATGCAACAAGCCTCTTCAAAACTTGGGTTCTTCACTGGTATAGAATATGAATTAAGCTAACAAACTGGACCTTGAACTCACTGGGTGGCTACACTCACATCAGGCTCTACAGCCACTCACTTCCTGATAAGGGCGCTTGAGGAGTGGTCATGAGTACATGTACTGTACAGCAAAGACCATAATCTCTTTTGCAACTTTTCTCCACTGGGGAGCCAGAGTTGTAATCAAATACATGTACTTTTCAGGTACCAAAGTTACTGCCAAATTTAAAGATGACGATGTGGGTAAAGCAATGTAACACAGATATACATGAACATAGAATGGTAAATACTGAAGGAAACAAAGCTTTTAGACAGTCAGAATCTTGTAAGAAGCTTCGAGACAATTTTTTTTTTCTGTGAAAGTACATGTACTTGACAAGTACTTCTTAACGACTCTCTGCCCAAAAGTGTGATGAAAAAGTTTTTCAAGTATCCAAATTCAAAAGTTTAGATTTTTACGACTTCACAACAAACAACTCAAGATTTGGTAGTGAACAAGCTGCTCGGGAAATACTCCACAGTTACAGTGAGGGGAGCACAAGGGTTGATACAGGTTTCCCAGAGGATTTTATCTCTATACAAACACCCTGCCACCCTTACCACATCACAATTTCAGGAGGATGCGCTGGCGCAGGAGCAGACAGACTACGTCATGACATGTACATGACGTAGCTCATGCCTACATGTACATCTGTGGAGGTACATGTACATGTACACTACTTTACATACATGTAGCCATGGTCATGAGCATGTATTATGGAAACCATAGCATGACATACAAGTTGCCATGGTGTTGGTTCTACTGGTACATATTGACGAGTCAGATGAAAAGCCCACAGCAAAAGCACAGTGTTGAGTGATTTCAGGGTAGAACCATTACCTGTTAATTGACAAGTGACAAAAGATGACGTATTCACTTTGGCTCTGCGTCGACTGTCCAACAAATACGGCACAATACAGACATTCCACTTGGCCAATTGTCAACCTTTGTGTTTGTCTGCCTCACTTCTGAACACCAGCCTATTACAAACTGTTTAAATCAATGAAACCATCTACACTGTTTTTATTTATTGCTTGTGGGACTGTCATTCACCTACGAGTTTTGTTATTTGCAGGATAAAGAATTCATAAAAAAAACACAGGATGTTTCAAAATGATACATACATGTACACTGTACATGCACTGCAGCCAATATGTACAGGGCTTCTCCTAAAAGGAAACCCATGGACTAAGCAAGACATGTCCAAGCTACTGGTGCATGTACGATGACCATTATTACAGTTTTATGTTCCTGGTCATGCATGACTGAAATCACTTGTATGGAATAGGACTGGCATATGTACATGTAGAAACGTTCAGCCAACAGGTGAAATCAAGCAGCAACTGTCAGCTTTGCTCGTGCCAATTACACGTACATGTATATTGAGATAAGAATTATTTAGTTACATTCTTAAGTGTTTCACTTGGTGGAGTTCTGTGGATTCAGATAGCTAAGTTTAGGCCTAAAAAGATGGTGCTCAGTGGCTCAGTGTAAACAGGCTGACAACCAAAATTATGCCAGCTCAAGTCCTTGAGGCATAGAAAGAATGTTGATGGTCTTGAACAATTGAAATTTGGGCACACATTCGTGATTGATCCACTTGAGTGTGAAACAATAGCACAAGATAACTTGCAAACTACATTAATGCATGTACAGTAATGAGTTCACAAGAGATCTGTCATGGAAATATGACATAACACTTGGTCTGTTAACACAGAAACAATTTAATCGGAACAAAGCCCTTCAGTTTTCAGCAAAGACAGGCTTTTGGAAATTGGAGCACTCGTTAGCACCAAATCGAAAGTACTTTGAACCTTTCAACAAATTAAACATACATGTACATGCATGTACATGTAGCTGTGGACGACAGTACTGTGAGTGGGTCTTTATTTTTTCTTGAAACCTGAGGGACTCGGGGTGAAACTACAAGCATCTTGATCTGGAAGTTACAATGGACACTTCTGGCTTTACATCCATCAATGCACTGAACACAAAGTGTCCAATGACAACTTCAAGCTGGGCTGCCAGCAAGCGTATCAAAAGTCTATAAAAGGAGATTTACCTGTATACATGTACACACAAATATGTGTGTGCACAGAAGTACATGGTACATGTACGTGTACATTTAGCACTCCATTCAAGATCCAGTTCATATTTGCTGCTAGGTGTGTTTGCCAGAAACCATCCTGAATTTCCAGAAGTTAGTGCTCAGCAGGAATATGATGGCAGATACTCGTGTGGTAACTTCCCACAGTAAAAAAGGCCTGTGTGCTACATGTGATAGAGACTGGACTTCATCTTTCCCCAACTTTGCAAAAATCATCCAAAAACCTAGTGGCTTGTGAGAGGCCTGCATAGTCTGTTGAGGGTTTTTGATCAGCATTTAACTGTGTTAACTTTCAAGGCCGACTGGTGCACAGAGATTTCTGCTAATGTTTCACTAATCTATGCAGAGTTGCCTATGAAATTAGCAAGCTCTTTGCCGTGCTTACTGCATGTGTGAAGTGAGATGCTGGTAGGCAGTCACGTACATGTACTTAACAGCATTGTGACACTGGTCCCCAATCATAGTACACAACTCCTAAATCTATGTTTATCTCTTCGGTTACATGAGTTGTACTATTGCACGCACACTCACACTGATATGCTGATGTTGAATGGCCAGGAGGGAGGGTTGATTTTTTTAGATGGCAACATTGGAGGCAATGGGGGCTTTGTCAGAGGTTGGGTCGAGAACCGGTCGGTCCCTGACGCGACGGATGATAAGCGAGATGGACAGTAGCAACCAGAATAGAACACCAATCCAGGAGGCACCCTGAAAGAAAAGAAGAAAAGTTGGTGGTAAAAATAAACAGTGCGCTAACAGAAATAATGTCCTCATTTATTGGTTCATCCATTGTCAATGAAAAACTGTATGGTTTAGGCATGTAAACCGGTTGTCAACTGACAGTGGAATGTGCAAAAAAACTGCCTCACATCCTACATGTACTGATACACGCACTCCTGGAAACTACAGGTGTGCAAACATGTATAGAAAATCCAGAAACGGTGTTCTTGCTCGATGTGCAATAGCAAAATTTACTGTTTCACCACTGGGACCCCTTGGTGTGTGCAGAGCAAAAAAAAGTGGCTCTTAAATGTATTACATGTATTTGCAGCTTACCGCAATGCATTAAAAAACTCTCTGGATTATTTCATCCACACAATGCAGGCTCTTTTTGTCCAAGCATCTTTAATAAAGATTGCACTCCAAAAGATGATTACATCATGTATGGTATTCTTACTTCACCATTCATCTAGAAAAGTGTGCATGTGCTGTGCCAAACCAGACATTTGTACATGTAAATTACACATGTAGTTGACTGCAACTCTGAATGGGACATACCAGTACATCTGCACATTATACATGTTGAATAAAGCACTTATGATGTCAACCAAGGTCTTCCCAGAGTAAACTGTTGACATACTGCAGTACATGTGTGCACCACATTTAGGCAAGTGTAAAGGGATTCAAGTGCACTATGCACAACGGTACCTATTACAAGTACAAGCTCATGAAATGCCAAACTCAAAAGCCAGACAGGGTAAGAGAGGGCAAAAGGATAAGAAAGCAGGGTGAAGAGTTCAAAAAAAGTCATGACACTGCACCAACGACTAAAAAAAATGCAACTAATCAAGTAATACAAGCATTCTAAAGTCCAGAGTTCTCTGCTTAGCAGAAAATCTTCAGAAATTGCGGAATTTGGGGTTCTTACATAATCACGCATATTGTATGAAGCTTTTTTCCCCTTGCAATCGCTTGTTCAAGATTTTTATATCAAATAAGCCAATTTCTACTTAGAATATGCGTAATCCCATTCCGCTTCATGGTTTTTGAGAGCGGATGAGCAGAGTGCGATATCTTGCCGCCAAGGTATGAATACACATGCGCACCACTGCGCTAGCTAGCTATCCCATAGTAGTTGATGTCGTTGCCGTAGCAACAAGACACTGACAGCTGGTGAGCACTAGCTGTTTGTGTGCAGTGTGATGCGATGCCATCATACATGCACATGGCCTGCACACGTAAACAATGCTGCTTTCGGACTACTTGCTGGAAGTTTCTGCGGCACTAGGTCATCTTTACACTGTGTTTAGTAATTTCTCAAGCTTTTTGGAGCCAAAGCTAGTGTATTCTTTTCAACTATATTTTGCAGAATAGATCGACACTGTATTTTCACCATCCTTGCCTTCATCCAGTGGATTTACCCCAGGACTTACTGGATTATAAGTCGGATGTCGTTCGATGCAGTGCACAGGATTTCTAGGTTTGACTTATTTCATTTTTATGTATCCCACAGTAAAAGCAGAAAGTATTTTATGCTAAAAAAAATAACATGTGAAAAATGGTGAATTTAGAAAGCAGAAGAAAGCAGAATTTGAATTTAACAAAGCAGAAAATTCTGGACCTTGAAGTAATCTCAACACCTTACTGTGACAGAAAAACAGACTGTAACAAATACATGTAGTAATAATGGCACCATTATGAATGTTTATGTACATTGTAACAATGGTAAATTTATATATGTGTACATGTATACAATGTACATGCACATGCCCAGTCTACATGTATCCCCCCCGGATGTTAAAATCCCAACATGACAGAAGATGTGTTTACATGTTCGTGCATCGTGCATATGCATGTTTGATAGCGATACACCGGTATTATACAGCACATTTTGATTGACATGACTGACACTGTGTGGAGAGTACATTCAGGTTAAGAAGTGAAAAATCAAAGCTGATTAAGAACCTGCAAAGTCTGGAGGAGTGGTTTCTGTTTTCTAAGGGAAGGAAAGCACTAGACGGATTTTATCTCAACAACTCTTACCAAAAATTACATCATATTCAGCATATTCAGTTGCTAAACTTTCACAAAAAAGTGGATCTGATGTACAACTTGTTAGAATGATGTTTGGTTAAATGTGAGGAATTTGCACCTAAACTATACAATCTTGGCAAATAAAATTGTGATCATGTATGTGCTTGCATCCGATATGTTGACTGCTGTAAAGGTTTTAAATGTAGCTTTGGATTTTAGGGCCAGAGTACCAGTACATGTACCTGTCCTTTTTCGGTGGACCCTTGGCACCTTGTTCATAGCGCTGGTCTGCAAGGGAGGCTTAGATTTGTACTGTTACGGACAGTTAATATAGCTTTTGTTGCCACAAGAATAGCCTCAGCCGCTGGCAGATCCGGAGGGCCGCTGGCGGAGGGCCTCCGGTGGAGCGCCCTGACCTGCTTCTTTTGTAATTGTATAACATTTTGTGCGCACCGGAAATCGGCTTTCTATTTCGGGATGCTTGTGGTTTGGGCGGGTGCGGGAAGGGTTTGGCAAAGTTCCCGGGCCAGAATTATTTTACATTGTTACACATTCTTTTGGATGAGAATGGTGGCTTTGGCCGCATTGCAGAAACCTGTAAGCCAGATTTTCAGTGGATTAAAGAAGTTTTGTCATTGTAATTCCTGTGAGTTGTGTCTCCTTTTTGGTGTTGCTGATCCGCTGCAGTACATTTCATGTTGATGCTACATGTAAGCTACCGGTGTACTAATACGCCATTCTCTTGCTACTGTACTGTATTCTCTAGCTACTGCATTGAGCTTCTCCAAAATTGAAAATTCAAAGACAAGCACTGTGTGCTCTGTGGCACACAGTGGCATTTTTAGTAGGCACTTAAGACCTTTCATACACCTACCGGTGCCAGTAGGCACCTGATTTTTTGTATGCCATAAGCACAGTGCCTATTGTGTCTATTTGGCCACGTTTTTCTACACTGAAGACAATATTGCCATTAAGACATAATTTAAACAAGCTCTGAGTAGTTTACATGTACAGTAAGTATACACAAGAAATACAGACTGTGCCCAATGCCAAAATGAGCTAAGCATGGCACAAAGACACCGTGGCTGCAGTGATCCATTTATGCATGCCTCACCAACATCTGCACGAGTGAGCTGGAACCCTATCAGTATCAAATAGGTCCACCTGGACTTCAAATACTTCCCATCCGAATGTCCATGTTTAATAAAATAAAACAAAAGGCTAGCAAATGCTACCCAAATTGAACTGCTCACAGGTTTTCTGAAATTCCGATAGTGTGCATGTACATGTAGTACTTGCTAGCATTAGGATGCCTTTTCACATACATTTCCCTTTACAGTGTATCTGTAAATTTTTACTACAGAACTACATGTACCCTTAACTTTTAGAGTAAATGATAAAAGTATAAGAGGGTTATGGTAAGAATAATTTCATGGGGTGGCGCATGAAATGTTCTGTCACTGGATGAAATTATTCCTTCCACTGCAAGAAAATGAAACATTTCTTTTCCCTTTTTAAACAACACCTGAAGAAGTCTCTGTCATCTCACTGGAGGGTCACCGATCACGTGTTTTAATTCAACAGGGGATTTCTAATGGTGTGACCATTAAATGCAGCCGATTAAATTTATCACTGAACCATGGGTGCAAGTGGTAGGCACAGTCAGGAAAAGTAGGAAAGGTTCAGTTGGCGCTCTTCACACTGGACAAAATTTCAGTGGCAGCTCAAAACCTGAAAACATGTCCCGCTTTTTTCTCAGCTCTGTTGTTATCTGATTGTTAACTTCCGTGTATCATGTTTTCTTCGCACTCGGGTGTAAAAATTGCAACAAGCAGTTGTCCAGTTCTGAAGAGTTGCACATTCGGTGTACTGCTTCCTGTCTGTCCTGCATATTCCTTTAGTTGATACTGCATTTGATTTGTTTCTTTTAATTAGCAGCATCAGCATTATTCACAAGTTCAGGTCTTCAGAAGAAGGTGTAAAGAAACTCTGGTGCTTCATCATCATCATGCCATTTTGTTATGTTTGTGAATGCACCACTACATACAGGGAAAAATTGGCTAACATGTATTAGAACTTCTAATGTGCCATGCATTGGTATTGACAACTGACGACCCAAAATTGACCATTTATCAATCAGATAACGGGAATTTATTCAAGTGTTGTTTAACATGGACTACAAGTTGAAACTATTAGCAATTCCAAATTTTGATGATCATGCACTGCATGCTGGGCCTTTCGACAAACAAACGCATAGCTGGTGACAAAACTAAACAAAGCATGCACTCGGTGCAGTATCAACAAAAAAGGAACTCACAAACTTGTGAACTGCCAGTGTGCAAAATGAGTCGTGCTCCGAGTGAGTTAAGAAAGCATGGGTTTTCGCTCCTCCGTCGAGCCGATTTCTTCCTTGCTGGTGCACCGGCGGGCAGCGCGGGCTGCCAGCAACAGTGCCCAAAACAGCACGCTAAACCAGGAGGCACTCTGTACAGGTGATGAAGAAGGCATCAGAGGAGCAGCCAAAAAAAGTTCAAAAAGAAGGAGAGATGAGGGGGAGAGGAGATGAGAACATAGGGGAGTGGACAGAGGAAGGTGGAAATGGATCATACATGTCAATACACGTGTATGCGCAACAGAGAGGTGAGTAGAACTGAAGCTGGGTGTTAATTGCAAGCTGGCATCTTGTCAAAGCCTATCATCTAATGTACATGTGGGTTTAACAAGGTTCAATCCAATTTTGGTCGAGGCACATCCCATAAACCAACCGACAAACTCACCATAAGCCTAATATAAGGTACAACATACATGTATGCTTCAAACAAAAACAGTTTCTTAGACTCAATAACAAAGAGTCACCCAGTAAATATAGAGGGACCCAGATGTTGGAAAGCCATAACTGGGTTGACACAGTGCTCTCTGAACCAATAGGGTGTTGTGGCTGGCCAACATGCACGTGTAACAGGGAAAAATAGCACGCTATGGGGAATTAGCAAAACAACAAAAACTCTAACTAAACCAAGGATCTTTGAAGGAAAAGTCGCAGGAAACTGAATTAATAAGGACTCAGACACCAATATTTGACTCCAAAAAAGGGACAAAAAATATAATTTATTAATGAAAAAGTACAGGAAAAATGCAAAAAAAATAAAAGGACTCAAGGACTAAAAACACCCAAAGACTTTAAAAGACTCAAAACCAAAACCCAACAGAGTGTCTAAAATGGACCTTATGAGTTTACACTCAGACTTCAATCACTGACTTCTAGCAGAATAGGACTCAAGCAGAAAAACCAGACTCCAGTTAGGAGGAACAATACACAGGTACATGTGCAGGTGACTGGTCTCTGCTGATCTGCTACACTGAGAGTGACCAGACCATGTGGTAACTCTACACCAGGGAAGCTGGGGCTTAAACAAATAAACAGGGGGGCACACTACTAGAAAAAATCAAGAACTCCAAACTAAAGTTAAACATTTTTAAAGGGGAACTACTTCTATGTAAAAATGTGTACTTAGTAACATAAACACCTCTGGCTCTGCCACACACGCACTCCACAAGTTTAAGACTATGCAAGCGAGTCTGGTGTCAGAACAGTAAATGGCGTCTCTTTGGGTTAGTCCATAAACCTGCACATTTTTTTCAAAGTTACTGGTAGTTGATAATTTAAATCAATGAACTCTAGTTGTAAAGAAAAAAAAACTGACAAACTTAACTTTATGCAATAATGACTGCAACAATCCAGTTGCCATTCAGCTGAAAATTGCCTACATGAACTGTTTGCTATGCACACGGGCATCCAGCATATGTCAACGATACCGGTATGTCCATGGCTCTCATTAGGCAAAGTAAAAACAAAAATCATGGTTTCGGCCTGCTTTCTTTTTGGTGGCAGCCTAGAATTTGTTTACATATTTTTCCTCTGGAAAAAGGGGTGAAAAATAATAACGTCAATAAATTCATCAAAAAAATGTGGAAGTTAGATTTTTTACCTTCAGACTCTGTGAGTCACTTTGCACACTTGCACAATCTCCATGCATGCATTTGTACGGTCATGTTCCAATTTCTTGGCTACAGTTGCAAAACCCACACATGCTTGCGGAAGCACATGTGTTTTTTTTCAATTCTTCGGAAACCATAACACAAACCTGCTACACACAATATCTTCAATTCTCTTGTCTAAAATGTCGCTTTCATTTTTGAGTCTTTGAACCGTGGAAACTTCGACTGTTGCAAATTTTAAAAAGACTGGTGGCCATTTAAGAAAAATAAAAGGGCTGCATCTGCCATTTCAAAATCTTCAATACTGAACTTTTTTTTTTTCACTGAGCCTCAGCAGGCCACCTTATGCAATCCTACGTATGGGGTACATGCACATACTCTACGTATCCAATATAGTTTCTGCACCAAGCAACCACATCTATATCTGCAAGTACTTACTCGTACAGGGCAAACATTTTCTGGCTTCCTGGTTCACAGTTTCATTTTATTTATTTTTTTAAAAACAGGAAAAACAATTCTTTTGAAATGAAAGATAAAGTTCTCCCACAGCCTGTTCCCAAAATGGCTGACAGACCTTGGGACCAGACTTTGAGGCTGTAACTGTGGTGGTATTGTGCCTTACTCACTGTTTGGTCTACCACATGCATTACTAACTGTGCTAGAGTGCGTCTGCGTGAATATGATCTGGGTCATTCTATAAGTTAGGAGTCCAATTTTTTTTTCTCTAATTTCCACGAGTGATGAATAAATGCAAATTACCTGCCAAACAAATAGAAATAGTTTGAAGTCAATTTCACTGATATTTCCATGTCAAATTACACACAAGTCAGGTGTAACAGAGACACAAAAATGACACACTTTTGGACCTTGAATTTAAATTTAGAGAATGACGTATCTGGCTGTGTGCGCAGGCACACAATGATTGAATAGAAACATCAAGGGCACCTTGTCTTCACTCGGTTGATCACTGAACAGTATGAACACACTACATGTTCAGGTAAACACACTGTATCCCCATTTGTTTCCTACATGTAAACACAACATCTGGGAAGTCTGCAGAGATTGACCCAATGCTGCAGACCATGTGTTGGTTTTGAACTTGGCCACTGTGCATGGTCTGTTGTCATCCCAAATATTGCTCTGCGGGTGCACTCCAGGTTGTAATGAGAAATGTCACACATATGCTGTTTAAAATAAATCTTGCGAATCAGTGTTTGCGGCTTTGGGCTTTTGGTATATCAAAAATTGGTTGCTATATCTTGTCTTTTTCAACAAAAATAAATAAATTGGGCCAGAAGCAGTGCAGTCTTCAAGCAGTTCAAAGCCTCTCAGACTAACAGTGTATTGTGGCAAAATGCACTCTTGCATCACGTTTAGGAACACTTGCAACATGCACACAAGTGTAATGCTAACCACCTAGAAACAATTCACGACAAGACAGCACGTTGCAAAGAATTCCAAGCAAATCAGTTGAAAACGAACAGCTTCCGCACACTGACGTTTTGCACATATGAACTGTGAACACTTGTACACATACAATGTGCACTGCACTCTAATGAGTGCACACATAAGGGACGGGTAGAGGTACGTACTTGAGCTGTAGTCAGAAAGCCGTAGAAATTCCCGGCACTGTAAGAGGGGTGATCGCTTTTTTCCCCGGAGCATTTAGGGAGGTTCCAATTTAAACTGGATAAATCTGCTGAACACCTGTGATGCAAAAGGACAGAGGTATCAGTAGAGAGAGGGCTTGTTGGTTCACTGACACTAAAATCCACCTGATGGAAGCAGTCTTGGGGCCACTGATTGAGACAAAGATCCATGCGAAACAGACAGGCCAACAGTGAACAAAACTACACGTATTATACATTTCAAGATGTTACATGTGCACTGAGATACAATGTAAATACACTGAGGTGTCCGTACAGACGCAGCCAAATGACAGGATGTGATGTGAGGGTGATTCAGTAAGGAGTTGTCTGTACTTTCCACTCAACTTTCTACATGTACGTAATTCAGTATGGAAGACAGCAACATTACTGTGAGTGCTGGTGGAAAGTTTCCGAAATAAAGGTTGGCACAAGATGTACATGAGCGGAGACATCCAGTGAGAAATTCAAAAATGAATCCTAGATTTGTCAGTCAGAAGGTGGAACTATTGGATAGTAGAAATGCTCATTTCAGAAATCTGCAATCTGCATTACATTTATTCTTTTTCTCCTTTCTGTTTTTCTCTTCTTTCTTTGATAGGGTGGCTGTATAAAACGGGGTGAGTTTCTACAAGGGGGAAGTTATTACACTACAAAAACTATTTCCTTACATTTACATTCTTCTTAAAAGAAATATCATTTGTTTCATGGAAAATTCTCCTTTCTCACTACAAAGAAAAAACTTCGTAAGGGACAGAAAGGAAAGAAATCTGTGTACCAAAAAATTAAAACAATAAAAAACATTCCCTCGCTATGTAAAGGCTGGTTCACACTGGTACTTGGCACAAAAGTGAATTCAAGTTTACAGATTTCAACTCATGCAAATTTTGCTACAGTACAAACCTTTCATGGTGTCAAATCCTATTCATGTTTGCACTTGACAGAGGTGCAGGTACTGGTATGAAACGGCATTAAAGGGACTTACTGTGTGATCTTACTGCCGATGCTCTGTCCCTCCGTTATGCTCGTGCAGAATCGCTTGAAGCCCACACTGAGTATGCAAGAGTCAATGAAGAGGAGCAGCAGCCAGCAGGCGTTGATGATGATGCCTGGTAACATGACCCAGCGCCTGGAGCAGGAGACCAACATGCAAGGTGTGTTAACCGAATCATTTTTTCCCCATGGCATTTACATGTAGACCTGGTCCTGTAAAACCTTCTGCCCAAAATCAGTAATGTAAAAACTAGGCTGAAATTTCTGAGGAGGAACCCGGGAACTTACACATTTTGTCAGGGGACCCTGAAATCAAATGACTATGGCATGTACCGTATGTGTAAGTTAGACACAGGCTCTCTGTGCATTTAAAAATGTCAACTGGGGGCACAGGGGAAGGAGGCAGACTTCCTAGGGGACAGCATACACCCCCCCAATCAAAATTACAATCACATGCCCAAATAATCGCAGTTTTGCAGCTGTTCAACTCTTGGTAAAGTGAGTACCCGGTACCAAACCACTTTATCTAAGTCTTTCTGGTAATGAAATCAAGGATTCCTCAAAAAATGCCCTGGGCACTGTAGCTCGAAAGCCTGAAGATACATGTAGAAAGGATACATTGAGAAGTAATTACAGTTTTAGAGGTGGGATGAAACCCCCCCCCCCCCGAGGAATATTCTGGGAAAAACCCATAAAATCAGACAGGGACTGAAAACCCAATCCACACGTAAACCAGGCCAGGAATCCAACCAGGCCAGGAATCCAACCACAGAGGTGGAAGGTGAGGAAAGAACCACTACGCCAACCTGACTCCCCACCTGACTATGAAAGTACCCGGTATATATCCCCTTATTAATTCCTGAAACCTCTCAACATGCCCTTACCTTTCTTTGGTCCATTTGAAGAAGACAGCAACGTGGTAGCAGCACACTGTCAAGGCGTAGAATGCTACGATGACATCCAGGCCGATGCTGAAGCCGCAGACGCCGTTGTTGCCCAGCTGTGTGAAAGAAAAAGCGGTGGCGTTGCACCACGTCACCTCGGCAAAGAGAACACAGTCTCCACTGAAGGTTACCTGGAAGGGAGAAGAACACTGTGATCAGTGCAGGGCCTTTGGTGATACATGTAAATCAATTTTCTTTGCCAAATAAACCAGAAATACTAAACATGTATGAACTGTTATGGATGCTGAAGGAAACACATGTACCTGTACAATGTACATGTACAGTGCATGTACATGATACACCTGCATGGAAAATGCACTCTACTTCTATATATGTTCTGGTATGGTATGTGCAGTGCCATAAGAGTCAGTACATGTACATGTACAATGTATGCTTGTACATGTACAATGTATATTTTCTACAAAAGTTCTGTATTTTAAAAGTGTACTCCAAACAATCTGCCAATGGCCTGAGAGAGGTCAGTAACCTTTGCTGTTTGGCTGCTGTCTGCAGTCACTGTTCACTACATACACATACCGGTACATAAAACCTGAGTAATTGTACCGGTACACACATGTACTGAAAAAAAAAGATTAAATGTAGCTGCACTGGATGCAATGTAGGGCTCTCAAATGCATGTTTTCTTTACAATGAGACGAACATGCTACTATGTACAGTCAATTCCACAATGTATTTTCTCAGTAAAAAAAGTTCATTCTCTCTGAGGAAACCGAAACTTCTATTTTGATTTAAAGAAAAGAAATCCTGCACCAATTTCTCAGTGCGTCATGCATGTACGAGAGTACCAGCACACCTTGTAGTGGTTAATAAAAAAGTTAAGTAACTTTCTCTGTCACTGTGACTAAAAAGTTTACCCAGCGACTTGGATTTTTCGTGGAATGCTGCCATGTTGCTCAGCAAATACACAAACGAGTGAAAGACTGATGAACATATATACATTGTCAAAATGCGCACCAAATTCATTTCATTTTGTGTAATGCTCATGTCCATGTAGGCCTGTTAAGCTTGCTCCTGCAGTTGAATGAAGTTTTCCAACAGAAAAAACCTCTAATCAGCTCATTTTCTGTCAAAGTTAGAAAAATTACAAGCCCTACATACCGGTATACATACATGTACATGTAAATATTGTACACAGTACTATTCATGTATACTTGTATACATGTACAGGTATGGGCCTGGAATTTCTTAAAACGATGTACCATGTACAATGACCTAACTCCATTCAAGTTGTACAAGTTGCTTGTACTGTACATGTACTTACTGTGTATGACTCATTGCACTCTTTCCTATTGTGCGAAAGGTTGCAAAGAATACCTTGACTGCTGACTATGAGTCTATGGATGTGCATGTACATGTACTGGAATTTGTCACTACAAAGATATTCGTAGAAAATGAATGGGTTTTTGTACAACAGCAAGAATGCATTGTCAATGCTGTTTAACTTAGAAATCCCCAGTAGACTGGAGAATAATATTTTTGCCATGGTTGTGCTCAATTTCTCACAGATTATTGCTTTTATTGTTAAAAGAACATACCTCGTAAATGTAAGAAACATGCAAAGGGCGGAAAAAATATGATTTCATTAAAAGACGTGGTTTATTTCATGTACAGTACCTGTACATGTACAATATTATGTCCATGTGTACATGTAGCATTGAGGAAAAATTCAATGAAATTCATTTTAACTCTTGAAACGTGAACCACGGCATGAATTCACGGCATCACCCCGTAATCTTGTACAACGTAACACATGGTTGGTGTGATGGAAAGGTCAGCTTGATACCGATGCCAATGTACAAGAAACTGGTATCTCGAAATAAATTGTATGAGATACATACTACTACATGTACATGTACATCCATGTACAGTTCCCATAATGTAGCTGGCGTAATTGAACGGTCAACTCAATACACTGCTAACTAAGAGAGTAGAGTTAACCATAAGGCCCTCAGAAATTGACATGCCTCCAACAGAGTTGAAAATGACCTAATGAATCTGTACTTCACTTAGAAAGGGGATGCTCTGTGTATACACATGTACCGGTACATGCATGTACATGTATGAGCAAGTCACACTACAGCCTCCCATCCCAGGTTGAGGTTCAACTCCATGTTGAATCCTGCATCATTTCACACTTGCTTTGAGCAAAGCTTATTTGACAGGCTGAAGCCAAGGGCAAGTTTGATTAAAGACCACTAGTTAACTGGTGGTTGATTCATGACAAACCTAGCGCATGTACAGTGAACATAGTGAAGTTGAAGTATTAAATAGTCAATTGCTGCCAGGTCATTGGGCCGAAGGTGAGAAAGGTGGTTGCAGGAAGAGCAAAATAGCAAAAATAAAAGTAAAAATGGTTGTTTACTAGTGACACAGGCCTACTGTCTTTCAGGCATTTTTATAACAACTGGTCCTCTCTTCACTATGCTATTAAAAACTGTTCATGACAACCAACGATGCGACCAACCTCAACAGGCTGGTCACAAATTCTTATACAGTGTACATGTATGTACACTACATATAGTTGACCAGACTAGTCCAACCATTGTCAACTACATGTAGCGTGCATGCGATCAGAGTTAGTCAAACTACCGGTATGGTTAACTATGGTCCTTGACGGAACTTGCCCCAGTTTAACCCCAAGATGAATAGGAACTATTCACACTTGAGCAGCATCAACCCAGGGCAGGTTCACTGGCTACTTACATGTACATGTGTAGAATGCATGTGCTGCATAAATACTGGCATCTCAAGATGTCATTTTAACCTGCTTTTATTATAAGGTGCTATACAGATTCCATTGGGGCAAATGCTTTCCAAAGCATTTTTCCTGTTTTAGGGTTTTTGTTTTTGTTTTGTTTTTATTTTTTAGCTTTTCTAATGATGACATTGGTAAACACCGAGTAAAAATATTAAGAATAAAAGAAAATGGAAGATGCCAATGTTTTAGGCACTGATAAACAAAGTACACATGTACATGTACACTTGTCAAAGCATACAGGTACACCACACCAAGAACTTTTTCGGGGAAAAAATTCATCACTCCAACCTGTTTAATACTAAAAAAAATCACTTTAACCCAGGTTATGAATTTGAACCCAGGTTGAAAAGTTCAACTTGGGTCAGGAGTACCAAGTCAGTCTCAGACACACATGTACTTACTCTGGGTGGAAATTTTCCCAGCCTGAAATGCCGTACATGTATGCTTTCAGCCCTGTACCCTGCTGCCCACCCTGAGTCAATCCTAAGAACTGTCCAAAACTGTGAAAAGCCTTAAATGTTGCGACCTCAAACTTGGCCGATGAAACACCGTAGACCTTAATTAAGTTGCCACCCCCAAATTTTGCTCAATTTTTATTGACTGTTTTGAATACGTACGGTACAGTTGGCCAAATTATTTGTGTAGCGTAATTGTTGACAGTCAAAGTCTCAATCTGGATTTCTCATTTACACATGTAGACTACCCTTAAGGGCCCACAGTGTACATATACATATACAGGTACGTCTTCATGAATGTGATGTGCTCAGCTACTTGTAAAAGTTGTATGTAGTGTGCACATTATCAAAAATGCATGGAGTGTAGCTTACATCATCGTACAGTACATGTATATTGTACCATGGAGCTATTATGACATACTAAGCGCTACCATAAATATTACCCTGGTCTAGATAAATAGTCAACCACAACTGGTATAGTAATAAGATTAAAAAAGCTGTCCATGGAGGTACTGTGGATACCTGTGGCTGAAATAAGTACACAGACAAGCTACCGGTATGTCACTTGTTGAGGATACAATATACATTTGTACTACATATGTAAAAGGCAACTTCAAATTCAGAAGAAAAAATTTAAACAGGAGAACTATCATACAGTACATGTACCTTTTTTCCAGACATCTTTTGCTACCAGCCTGTTTGTTACACACAGAACTGAATCTTGATCAGTGATCTGGTTCACTCCATCCTCACGCGGGTTCTGGTGTCAAAACACGTACCGGGTACGTACAAGTACATATACATGTAGTTCTACATGTACATGTACAGTACATGTAAACCATTCACATAATAATGTACAAACACGTACATGTCCATACCAGTGCATATCGTCATGTGCCTGGAAGAAGGACGTAAGCTCTCACGCCCTTTTGCAAGGAAGCATGACCACTGCAAAAAAATTCTCCCATCAAAAGGACGTACCGGTACGTATGCAACTGTTTTATTTTAAAGAAATATAAAGATTTCTTTGCAAACAGTTTTTACAAAAAATTCCCAAGTTGTTTAATAAGTTGTTCAAAGGTTGCCTTTTGTACAGCCTGTGTTGATTTTGTAGTAACTTTTATCCGTTTTTACTAAATAAAGAGAGTGTGGTTCTTACGCCCTTTTGCTGGGAACATTTTTTCTGCTGTGATCATGCTTCCTGGCAAAAGGGGCGTGGGGTCGCTTGTGACTTTTTGCCAGGCACACAATGATACATCATGAACAGCACTTACATGTACATGGTACATGTAAGTGCTTACATGCTTACATGCTTGTGTTCTTACATGGTACATGTAAGAACACACATTGTAGGCCTACAATGACTTTAGTCATGAGATCAGCAGTGACATACATGTACTGTAATGCACACATGGTAGAATCACCATTTATAGCAGAAGGATGTGGCCTACTGCAAGACTGAATTCATCGACATGAACAATAGAGAAATGATACTCTGTATCCTGACCTGACACAAAGGCTGAAAGCTATCATGAAATGTGCATGGTTGTACATGTACAAACATGTACCATTTTACAACTGGATAATTACCATGTAAGCATATAACATGTGCATGTACACATGTACACACCTACATTTCAACTGACTAATCCCTCAATTAACAGGTATGCAGTTGGGAAGTTTTAAGGAAATAATGAGGAAATTCGAAAGTGCAAGCTACAGAAATTCTAGCCTTCACACATACCGTTCCATGTACATTGTACATGTACACATACTCATGTGCACCGTACACATGTTCCATACTCATGTTGCATGCACACAGGTGTAAAAAAATACGGACACTGAACAGTACCAGGGTATAGGCCTACATGTACTATACCAGTAAAGATGTGCCGAAACAGAGTAGGCCTACTTACAAATCAGAGGTTCCACATTTTCAGTAATTCCTATCAGAAAAACAAATGCTAATTTAAGCAAAACTTTACTTTGGTCTTTCCAGACCGACAGGCATGTTCAGGTACATGTACATGTACATATACTATACATATACATGTACTATAATACCGGTACGTACACATGTACTATACATGTACGGGTACATATCAATGTACATTGTACACATTGTACATGTACATACTACTGATCTACTGCACATAAACCGTATTACTTTGAAAATGAAACTAAATTGGCTGAAGCAGCAGAAACTCCCATACATGTACTGGTAGGATAGTTGCATGGTACCACATTTCTATACATTTTCTATTGTTATCAGTGCAGGTTCATGTACAGTATGCATGTGTCTGTACTGCATGTCAGCAACTTGACAATACAACCCTAGCAATACATGAGCATGAAAATAGGGTAAAGGTACTTGTATCAGGGCTTTTTCAATACGGATATTTTCCAGTACCGTACATTGTATATGTACAATGTAAATTGGTATTAAACAAATTAATGAATTTGTGTTAATGAATACAGTGACAAATACCGGTAATGCCACAAGGCGGCAGACAGAATGTTCCAAGCCACCATTTCACTGAATGAAAGTGTTATTTGAAGTGCGAGGTGACAATATTAGTCAAAAGAGGTGACTTCCTCTTGATTACTGAGGCCACCTGACATTTGGATAAGCAAGGGAACCATGGACTGATAACGAGGCATTATCAGTCAATGCACTCATAAATTCAACAACACATATGTTGGAAAGGAAGCTACACTTTAAAAGAAACTAATTACATCTGCAAGAAGTGTTTACGTATAATGTTAAAAGGGCCCGGCATGGGCCAGTAGGGTAGCCAGGGAGAGAGGGAGGGGGAATGGAACTTCTACCCCCTCCCTCCATCTGAGAAGAGCCTGGCAATGTAGCAAAGGGGGACAACTGACCCCCGGTGGGAGCTCGTGCCCCTATCTCCCACTCCCCTCAAAAACAGCCTGGCTACTCAGAAGCACCACGATTTCTGGCCACTGAAGCAGAGTTCTGTGGAGTTTAAAGGTCAGGTACCCGCCAATATCGCATGAACACATTGGAGGGGCATTCCTCTAACAGACACCAAAGTCTCCCCAACATGTTATTCTTAATGGTCAGAAATGATTCATGACCAATATTAGCACTGTCAGGTGTTTTATCATGAACTAAAAGCTTGAGGACAGAATGATGCCGACAGTTGAAAAATACCCCCTTACTGCTAGGCAGGGTCACTTTGGAGGAAAATGAAATGTCCACAAAATAACCATCAAAGGCTTTGATCAAGGTCCATGATTCCTTACAGTATCCATTTCTTGTCATCTACATGTATATTAACTGCTATGCATTAAAACGTCATAAAAGATTTTTCAGATTTTAAAACAGACTGCTTGAAAAGAACCTGAAACCAGGCAAATCGGGATGAAACAATCCTTAAATCAGGAAAAATTCTAACAAATCTTAGCTCTTTATTCAAAACAATTAAAATTCAACAAAGTTCAACAGTTGCACATTACAAAGTAAATTAGAACAGGCAATTGATAGGCTGATGGCAGAATTACTGTCAACCTATCAGAAAATCACGCAAAATGATCAACTAATCTCGTAAAGATTGGGTGATCACAAAGAATGATAAATCACACCCTAATTAGGCCCACATGTATATGAATAAATCCCCAGCCATTTTCAGTGGTGGGGGATTTTTAAGTATTGCAATCTGTCACAGCTACACAGCACAGCACATGTCGCAAGTCCTGCCCTTGGGTGTTTCCAGGTCACAACAGCAGCTAGGACGGTCACAAGGTGAAAAACCACAAGATGTCATCCCCCGCCACTGAAAATGGTCAAACCAAGATGCGAAGCAAGCGCGGTCATTGGTGGGCTCAACGCACGCGCAGTTCATGGTCTGATAAACACAAATGGCATTAACGGAGCAACAGTCAATGGGTGGAAGTGAGAAATTGGTGGGCAAAATTTTTTTTTTTCAAAAATACATGTAGGCCTACTCCGTCTCATGCTGAAACTTTATTATCCCGCTTTTTAAGAGGTATATATTAATCAGGTTTGCTGACAGGGGAAAATTTGCTTTCCACGGAATTATTTCACCACAAAATCTGATTCCAAAACCCCATAGCGTTACGACACCATGTAAACCGTGTTGGCCGACAGTCACAAGGAGTATGACGGAGTGGGGACTTTTGAGTTCTCGAAGTAGCCTAGGCCTACACTACACCAGCGCACATTCGATCGAACCATCTGACCATGGAACGTTGTTATCACGAATTCATATGACGACAAAGTACAATACGTACCCTTGATATTCCAACAGTAATTGCAGTGATCAAGCCAGAGAAGAAAGCAGCTAAATACAAAATTGTTTCAGTGATCATCAGACACCCTTCGACCGCCATGATTCTCACAGAACACTGTGTCAAGCTTTGGTTGTTAATTACCGGAGGCCGAGGACTTTCGTTCCCCCAAACGTACGTGTCTAGTCTGAAGGCGATAAGCGAATTGATTGAAGACCAGCGCCCTCAATCGACACTGGCTGTGACTCACGGATGGGTGGATGTGTCTGTGTGAACTTTTGTGGCACTTAAAATCATTCGATGGAAAAGGTAGTTCCAAAGGTTTCGTTACGCTTTAATGTAATATCTCACCACTGCATTTTATTTGGTATAAGATAACCTTCCATTTATTCATTATTATTTCCTTGGAAAATCAAAGTTTATATGTAAATGTGAATACAGGAAGCACTTCCCAATTCCCACAGACACGAGCTTGAATGGACACAGTCATGTTTGCTAATTGATAACAATGAATTCTTGATCATTACTACTCTGAGACCTCGGACAAATTTCAATAAAGGAGTCCCTTTTTACATTCTGTGGTTCTTATTTGTTCGGACTGAGAAGAAGATCGATCAGTCAAGCAGAACTTAATGTTTGGTGAAAAGGTTACATGTTAAACGTATTATTGTATAGGATACTTAAAGTCATGTAAAGTAGTGAATGTATGATTGTGCTGTGAAATAACTTTCCTTGATACTGGAAAGGGTTCAAAGATCATGGCTTCCGAATGAGGGAAAAATTGCTTTGATACCGACCCTATTTGCAGCTTCTGACCACAAAATTAAAGGGAAGGAACTTATTTCCAATGTTATGAGGGAAATGTAAACAGTAATAATATAACTCTTCTTTTTTTTGATCTCTTTGAAAGAAATAGAAGGAAATAAATTTCCAGTGTCGTAGAATAATTAAATAAGGGACGTTTCCGCGTTTTCCCCAAGAAATCCGACAGAGTCAATACTGGACATCATTTCTCGTTTTTCTCACAAAATTGAAAAGTGCGTCCTTGATGTTTAAAAGCTTTTAGGGTCAGGCGTTGCGGGCAAGGTCGGAGACATCAAAAAGAGTTTCAATCGGGAGCAAATAAAAACTGGGATCGGTCGGGAAATGTTTGGATCGTAGGAGGGGGGTAATTACAAATGTAGTTCGCTATTTGTTTCGTCTGTATATTTGAACACGCAAAATAAGGTTTTTAGGGATCTTCCAACCTTAATGGCAATGAACATGCAGATTTTTTAACCCTACCCCGTGGATCGAAACGAAATGACTATTTCAATTTGAACTTATTCATTGAAAGATAGCTAAAATCAAACGAATGTTTGAATGCTGATATAATGCAACGAATTTAAATGGGTCCCCTGAGTTAAATGGCTGGCTTTCACTCATAGTGGGTCTTACGAATAAAAAAGAAGCATTTGCTTTTACTACCATTTTCGAAGCATTTACTCGTGTTTGTATAAATGATAACGAAGGAAATGCTTTTACTTTAGTGCAATTGCTATTAAGTAAAAGGATTTGCTTTTTACTCTTTAAGCTTGTGCTTGACAATAAGCAGTTGTTTATTTACTTGACATTTTTCAAGACTGGGTCAGGGCAAGCTTGAAAACGAGGAGCATACTAATGTTCAAAATGGCAGCGTTCATGAATGTCATTCGAAAGGAAAAGCTGTATGCCTTTAGGAGGGAATCTCAAGAAACCAGATGCAGGCAGTTGTACCGATTTGAGAGTGGCAGAGCAGTTTTCTTCATCAAGGTTTTTGTGATCAAATTACTGCCATCGTGCTTATCTGTCATTACCTCCATTGTTGAAGTTCCCCGGAGAAGACTGCCTTAGGGAGCCGAGCATATTTCATCCTAACTACATAGCAGGTCCCAACAAGCTGCTGTCGAGTAAGTAATGCGTCAACGCATACGAACTTCCACAAAGATTCTGTCCTTCCACCTGATGTTCCTCAGACAAGGGGAGACATCTTCACCCATTGCAGGCTGTGGATATAGCGTCGGTACGTAGTGTACGTCTTGCCGGAATAGAGCGAGCAGAAGAGAACTACAGCGTACGTAGGCCTAATTCTGGGCTGTTCCGGTTGGGGGGGGGTCTGGAGCTTGCAAATTACAGCGGAGGCAGCGGCGCTGATCCTCTTAGCTTCTCCACCTCTTTGTCCAGCTGTTATCACTGGAAATTGATGCTGTCAAGATATGTGAAGCAGTTGACCGTGTTGAGGCAGTTTTCAGAATGATGACGGGATGAGAATGTCGGGTTGTTGAGACTGGGTTGGTTCAGGATCTCAGTCTTCCTGACCTTGATTGTCAGTCCAAGATTTTCTTCCGCTGTTTGAAGGCATTCAGCATGCTCTGAAGAGTGTGAGATCATGGCAGCGTTCCGCAACTCGCTCACACATCAATGCCCTGGTTTTGTCTGTGGCCTCCAGGCATCTTTGCCTTGAAAAGTTTGCCGTAGGTGCCGTAGGTCAGGATGCACCTTTTTCAACGCTGGAGGGGCAGAGTTGAAGAAACGCAGAGAGATACAGCGAGAAGAGGTTGGGCGCCAGTACGCAATCTTGTTAGACACCCTCTTGTTTCACAATAAACTTTTCCGAGGTATCGCCTCGAGTTGCTACCTGGGCTGTCATTCCAGTAAATGGAGTTGTGTCCTTGCTCTACGGTTGCTAATAACGGCAATGCCTGGAGGTCACCGCAGCGATGGAGAAGGGCCAACTGAATCGAAAAATAAACACCAAGTAGAGGGGCATGTTCTGCGGCAGTGGTTGTCTCCTGTATTGGCCTGAGGGTGAAGACCGTGTTCGCATTGAGGCAGGATGACCTCGAGGATGTGCTTCAGATAGTTCAAAATCATCTCTCCCAAGATCTTGGCCAGCGATTGGAAGCAGATAGAATTGTGCTTGCCGCACTCTTGTTTGTTCCCCCTTCTTATGAATGAGTATCACGCGGAGGCGCTAGGGTGTGTGCACACTCAGGTGAGCGTGCACACAGATCGGCTGGAGTGTTGCTCCGAAATTCCCTGTAGTTCAACATGGGGTCACATGATGCCCAGTTACCCTGTGCTGCCACGTGGAGGCACCGCAGTAGTCTTGACGGTGAAGAAGCTTTCCATACGACTGGGGGAGACTTATGCGCTCAGTCGGCTCCCCGTTTCGCCCCCTATAGGCTTAGCCAGCGGCAGCGGCTGAAGGTAGAAAGTAATGTGCGCAATACGAACAACTATGCATACACTGCACTTGATTGATCACACACACCTTGCGGTAAAAAAATCACTAACACGCGTGAACACCTGCTTGCACAATGCATTACATGATCGCTCAGCATCTAAGCAATCATATGGCTTAATACCACGCTGTAAAAATCTCGAACTAGAATGTTTTCGATTTTTTTTTATTATGCCCTCCAACAGCGAGATAACGATTTTGATGCGTGTTAGGCTTTCTCTATGTTTTAACACCAGTCTCCCCCTTCGTTACTCTTCGAAGTAAGTCCAAAAGACTGGACAGATTGTTTAACCGCCGTTTCAGTCACGTTTGGTTTGGTCGTGCAATAAACTTAGCATTTGCTGCCTATATTCGATTAAAAAACAAAACAAAACAAAACAACACAACAACAACAACAACAGACAGTGGGTGATTTCCATAAAAAATCAAGCACCAAAATGACCTCAATACGTCTGTGGCAAAAGTCAATGTGGCGCGATCAACAGTAATAGCGCTTGTGCAGCAAGCTAAGCTTGCTCCTTACCGATTACATACAATGGAAATTGTGTGCCAAACACTTCTTTTGTTTGTCATATTTTGAATAACAATCTTTTGCCAATAGCATCTTGCAGTGCTGCATGTCGAAGTTACTTGCTAAAAGGCGTTTCGCTTAGCCATGTTTTGCCATGTTCCGTTATTACTGGTTCATCGCTCTGCCCCATGTTACACGAGCACTCAACATAAAACATGGTCACATGATCAAAATGGGGCAAGATATGACTGATGAAAATGATCACGGTGTTGGCTTTCTGGTTAAAAGAGGATAGGGAGCATTTCGCGTGAGCAGACTGACAGACAAACGTGAATGTGAACAATAAGTGCAAAGCAAGCATCATGGAGAAGGTAGTGGTGCTCCGCATCTTCAAGATCACCGTGGGAATCGTCGGCATCTTGGGTAACGGTCTAGTATGCGTTGTCATCGCTAAAGTCTCGGCGATGCGGACTCGATCCAATGCCTTCATCTTCCACCAGGCCGTGGTGGATCTAATCGGTTCCACCGTGATTCTATTGCGGAGCGAGATCCCTCTACCAGACCCTGTGCCAGACGACGCCCTTGGGTGGATAGTGTGCCACGTCTGGTTTTCCCACTTGGCACTTTTTTTCGTGTATCTGATCTCAACATTAAATCTGCTGATGCTGACCATGGAGCGGTATTTTGCCATCGTTCACCCACTCAAATACCAGGCAGCCTTTGCCAAGCAGCCCCGGCTGAAAGTCGGTGTGGTTATTGCAGCCTGTTGGATCTTCACGATCATTGCCAAGTCCTACAACATCACCCTCTTCGAGGTGGAAGACGGCGCGTGTGTTTCGAGTGCCGAATCTCGGTCGAAAGTCTTGGGAGTTTTGACAGCCATGGTACACTACGTGGTGCCTGTAACAGTGATGCTGTTTGCCTACATCCGCATCAGCGTGGAGCTCAAGCGAAGAGCCGCCCGACTGCAGCCCGCACTGCCGCCCGTTGATCCCACTGCTGGAGTATCGACGGCAGACACTGCCCGACCAATAAATGTGTTGGCGGCGTCCCTTCTCCGGGCCAGGCGCAACGTCTTCAAGATGCTGCTGATCGTTTTCGTCACGTTCCTGATTTGCTGGACTCCGAACCAGGTACTCTTCCTCATGTTTAACCTCGGCTTGCCACTGCGGTTCGACGAGTGGTATATATTGCTCTCTGTCGCGATGGTATCCGCAAACTGTTGCGTCAACCCGCTCATCTACGCTTTCAAGTACCAGCAATTCCGCAGGGGGCTACGCGAGATGTTCTGCCATCGTCGGGTCGGGCTACACCCGGACTCATCCAACCCAACAAATTTCATTCAGGCTGTACGATGAACAAACGCGATGAGGATAGACATGTTCAGATTTCGCCTGGAAATATACTGTAACTTAGAATCATTGTTCGCGGTAAGATCATTCTTTTATAGTCCTGATGGTGCAGGCCAAACAGTGTCAAACCGTCAAATTTTGTGTAGTGCAAGTGGCACGCAATTGTTTTTGAGAAAAAAGAAGAGCCATATTGAGAACTACTTTATTTGTTCTCTTTTCAAAAGTGTACAAATAGCCCCCCAACTTAGCCTTAGCCCTCAGAAACCTCGACGGGTTAAATTAAGATATTTTCAATTGTTTTGGTGTCCCTTATCTTTACCCCAGCCTCAATTTTGTTCCGGCTCCCCCTCCCCCCTTGGAGAATAGGACACTGATCTTCACAGAGAACTGTTACAAGCTCAGGAGGAACACCCCTATAGAATTTGGAGGTTGGAAAGCGCTTGCCATAATTATAGTTGCGAAATGCGATAAGAAGTGGATGCTGTTCATCTTCGTGCTTAAAAGGAATGAATCTGAATACAAATGATTTGTTGCCATTTGTTTGCACTGATATTGAAAACTTTTTACTGAATATACATGCGTTTTTGCTCTGTTAATTGCCATGACAGAGATATCAGTTTTACAGTTGGTCACACTTCCTCTTAGGCGTTAAGAGGAGGGGAAAAAAGAGAAAGGAAACGAAAAGAGAGAGGGGGTGGCGGGAGAAAAGGGAAGATGGATATCGCCCATTTCCTTGGAAAGAGGTTTGTCAGTTTGCTGTTGAGATTTGCCTTCAGAAAAAAAAAGTCAACGCCGATGTTTCCTGTCAAATCCTTATTCCTCCAGTTATTTAATAATTCAGTAATTACATTGTCTCATTATTACTGGGAAAATCTAAAAAGATATTTATGATGATGCTTTCCGCACGGTGCCGTTGAGTACTAATACTCGCAAACCAGCTGTCATATAAATTATGCGGTGACTGTACAATCTACACACAAAGAAACAACCAATTAACTGTCAGCTTACTAACTATCGCTGTCGCAGGTTAATCGACATTAGTTGTCTCTGTTGGTTGAAGGGCAGGATTCTCTTGCAAATCAACACCAAAGTGTGCAGCAACCAAACTTACATGAATGGCTGAAATTGCAGACCTGACCGGCCGTGGTTCCGCTATAACGATCACAAAATGAGCTGCCGAGCCACGCATCATTTGTGATGCAGTAACTGCGGAATTAACTTAGAGGATATAATCAAGTACTTGCTTTGAAATGCTGCCCCGCAGTGGTAATGACAACATTCTGAGAAAGAGATGAATGCTTCGAAAATCACCAATCATTTATTTTATTGGAGCGCATTCAAGGCCATGCGCTTTCCGTCTACGTTCTGTTGCATGAAAAAGTTGTGTTCTTTACCTGCCAGCCGATTCAACTTCCCAATGCCGCTGTTAACAACTACGGCTTGTACAGAAATCACCCTATAAAAACCTCGTTCGTTAACAGCGGAGGGTAGTCGTATCGGGTGGACTTTCATCTCCCCACCTCCCGTATAACTAACAGCTCCCTTCTTGTCCTTCCTACAAATCTCTTTTCACAACTGCCAAGTCTGGAGGCAGTGCGAACTGTATCCTGAAATATTTGTTAAGAAAACTGACACACGGTAGACAAGCACATTAGGTTACCGCACCCCGCAATCCTAAGCGAAGTGAAATGTAGATGCTTTATTTATTCCATTTTGAATGGCACAAAATGCTAATGTCCAACCCTTTTTAACACGCATCGATGTGCAACTGTTGATATCCACAATTATAAACATTGCCAAAAATGTGTTCAGCAGTGGTGTATCCAGGTCTTGGCTGGGGAAGGGGGGGGGATTGGACATTTTTCTAAAAATGACTGTCAATTTTTTCGTACTGTAGACTACTGTTTTTTTTATGCACTAAACCGTTTCTAAATGAATTTTCTGCTTTTGTGACATCGGAAAAGCAGATTTTACATAGGTGGCCGAAAAGTTGCCACCAACACTAACCACCCAAGCAGAAAAGTTGAATTCACGGTTGTCGTCAAAATGTTCGATCCAAATTTCTGCCTGCTCGAAAGCAGAAAAGCAGATGGCCGCTTTTCGGCTGCCAGCGAATGAAGAAAAAATAAAATCTGCTTTTCTACCATTCTGATAGCAGAAAAGCAGATGGCCACTTTTCGTCCTCCATGCCCCCTCCCCGTGCGAACACAATATCCCCCAGCAAAAATCGTGGATCCACCTCTTTTTTTTAAGTGAATCATCTATCCAGCAAGGGGAGGATGATGCAACAATGGCTTACTATATTACAATTTCCCAGTAGTCTGACCCCCTCCAATCCAAACATTTCAATTTTACCCCGACGTTTTTATACGCAATATTTTCTCCCTGTTCGCATCCACTTCTAAAGGGTGCAGAGATCTCACAAATTTAATAGCACAAGCGTTATGTAAGCGTAAAGGTGCTCTCTTTGGTACACTCTAACTACATTCATTAAAAGTGCAAATTACCACCTAATCCCATACATCGTTGAACTGAGAAACTAGTTATAAACTTGGTTACTGGTTGCATATTTTACACTGTTTGCCCGAACGTTCTTACAAACTCTTCTCTGCCCATTTCATTCTAAATAGCATAATTTCTGATTGGTTTTAGCAAATTTGAGTTTTGCTAATTATGTCTTTCTTACCCAAGCGAATGTATGCCTACATGTTCTTATTTGCTTTAACAATTTTTTTAACCCAATAAAAACAGAAAAATTAAAGATATACAATTAGCATAAATATATTTCATTATAAATACAATGACATTTGAATTATTCTACAATAACTTCATTCTGTACGAAAAAACAATCATGAAGTAAACTTACACATTAAGCTATCTAATTACAACACAAGATTATTCATTCAACACATAATTTACTTAGCAAAGTCAATCTACACTTTTTGCCATAATTGTTTGGAGTGCAATGAGTATGTCGCAGTTCCTTGTGCATGCAAACATGAACAAATTTTACAAAGTGACACTAACCAATTCACAGTTTAGAAAATACATTATATACATTTGACAGTATAATGACAGACGACTTTCACCCACTTTCCTCTTCCCCCCCCCGTGGGGGGGACAAGGGTTGCTTTTTCATCACTCTTCCTTTAATATTTTTCAATTGTCCATCCCCTCGATATGAGAAGTCACTAGTCTCGAGTGACCCCAACAAGTCATGAAAATTTGTTAGTAAGTTGTCAATCTGAAACCACTCAAAATTTGTTGATTTGGAAAAGTGTAGGTGTACCACCAGTGCAGTATCAAAATTTCAAAATTGAAGTTCAATTTGTTAAAAGATTTAATTTTGTTGTGCAATTACCTCCAACAGTAATTTTACTCTGCACAAACATCCACATGTGACTGTCAGCATGCACTTATCGTGAATAAAAGAAATTGGTCAAATTCGTGTGTATTCATTTTACAAACTAGTGTTACAACGATCTCACAGTTATTTGATAATACAACTCTTAATTTAAAGCCTGGGTACTTTATACAGCCTTGAAATTTTTTTCACGATTTTCATATTTTCATATCACGCATTGCACTTACGACGTAAGCTGAATACAATTGCAAAACTTCAAAATTTCAACAGTTCAAAAATCTCGCAGAAACGGTGCAAAGTTAATAACCAAAAGTGTAGGATAAAATTAGCAATAATAAACAGCATTTGTCCAATATTTCTCACAAGGTGTAAGTAATTTGTGAGATGAGTGCCATAATTTACAAGCATATATTTAATTATATTCCAAGCTGAAACCATTCCAGAAGAAAATAGTTGTGTACTTACAGTTTTTACGTTCTCTAACAAATGTGTACATATAATTCTCTGGATATTCTGTGTAGTTAACAATATTTTCATAGGATTTAATTATTTGTAGATTTTTTAACATGCATTTATAGATCCATTATGTTTAAAATCAGGATTTTGATGGTGCATGCTCAGCCCAAATTTGGGTCACAAAATAGTGAGAGTCATCACTCCCCACTGGGTTAGGCACCACAAGGAACAGCCTTCAGGTCCGGTGAAATTGCTACAGCCTTAATTGACGTTTGTCATGGTATCTGATGAAGAAAAAAGAAAGAGGCTGGAGGTTTTGCTTGAAACTGATTTAAACATTGTTTAGATTCTGGCCTGGCATACAACAACTTGCCAGAACGAACACAAGGATGTAGAAGGAAATGATAATCATTTATAAACGTTGCTTGGTTTAACAGAATTTTTCTTGACGTATCTATGCTTTCTATATATCAGCATATATCACAGTGACTTTCTCATTGACTGGGGTCTAGTGGAAAAGGGGATAAGGGGGTAAGAATTCCCGCAGAGAGGGCGGTCCCCCTTGCCATCCCTTGGCTACAGCACTAGCCTCTGGGGAGAATAGTTGACATGTAACTCATACTGCTACCTAGTTAAGTAAAATGATTAATGGTATCAAAAAATCAAGGTTTTTGTTTGTTTCTGAAGGATTGATTTCTTTACTGTAAGGTCATTTAACTTACCGTCAGTAGTGGTGTGATCTCTTGCGGTTTTTGATGGTTTCTGCAGAAAACAAAATGGACACATTATCTAAACTTATTCTCAGTCAACGCTCTGAGCTGTTCCATACTCCTCCAAAAATCAGTCCGATTTTTTTTTTCTTACTCATGTTCCATTAATAAATTGTTAAGAATTACATGAACCTCTTGAGTTTCAGGATGTAATTTCCTGGGATTTTTTAATCTTTTTGTTTTTTGCTTTCATTTCTTTTGAAATTTTGGATTTAACACTTTCATACAGTGGTCACAGACTGTGAATGCACAAGTGCTGGATTTCAACACCTATGCTTTCAGGGTGGCTACATGTAGCAAATGCTAAAGAACACCGGCAAAAGGAAAACCAACTATTTTCAACCTAGATCTCCCCCTGCGAAATTCTAGAACAAATGATTACAAAGGATCCCTTATGGTAATTGAATGCAGCTATTTTTATGAAAACTTTTCATGAAGACTTTTATTCTTACAAAACCAAACATTTTCTGATAGCTATTAACAGGGGCTAGACTATGATCTGACATAGTTAGGAGTCACCTATCCAACAATAATTTGAAGAAAAAACCTCTAAAGTGTGTGTTACCAAGAATCTGGCCAAATCTTGACTAATCCACTGTGTCTGAATCATGTGGCTGTGGCTGGAGATAACACACAAACCTATAAACCTAAGCTAATGGCTTTATCTATTTCGCCTAGGCTCATACATTATTTCTAGCTGTCCCTAGCTCCAAGTACCTGATCAGAACTAGAGTACTGAACTTTGTGTTTGGTAAGACACTAACAGGTTTTGACCCCTGCTTAAGTAACTCACCGTCATTTTCGTGAGGTGGGTTGAGGAATCCTTACTTGCCGCAATCTTGTTGCGTGTCTTGACGTACGCCTGCCTCACCTGAAAGCGTTGACACCAAGGCTCACAAAATCAATTTAGAATGATAACAAAGACAAGCATATGCCATCCTTTTGCACCAGACATCTGCTGGCATGTAAAAACAGCACAAACAAAATCACCTTCTCATTACCCCCACTGCTTTTTTTGGAGAAGTGGTGGCTCTGTTAGGCCCCAGGATCTGCCAACACCTATAACACCTATAAACGTCAAGACTGTTTGACCATTCCTGTTGGTTAAAAGTCCATCAGTGCATGTGCAGTGGTTTCCAACCACTGAAGACACCACCAAGAGCCATATGCTGCATCATAAATATCCATGTGAGATGTTTACCATTGCGCACATGACAAACACATCTTATAATAGGCTTGCATTGGCCATGGGGGTTTCAAAAAGTTATAGGATGGCAAAATATAATCTGCAGTTGATGGGAAATATGACATCAATTCTTCACATATCCCCACCTTTTAACACCAAAAGGCATATATGAATTAGAAAAATTATAGTGCACTGGAAAATATTTCTGAGCGACATTGACAGCCAGCTACAATCCTGGGTAAAATTGTAGGGACACTTGGCAATAGCCATCTGCTCTCCAGCCCCCTCCCCCACTCCCCCGGTCAATGTTGTCATGTCCAACCCGAAAGCAGACTGCCTGCATAGATCCAACATTGAAAAGGGGCCTGGGGGTTGGAGGCCCAACTAGATTTGTCCAGGATTGTAGATCAAGGTCTTGTCATTCACTGAAGAATTTTATTGCATACTGCAATCAATGCTATTTCCTTTCCATTTGGAATCCAAACCTCTCCAGTTGCTTCAAGTTAGTATCAATAGGGTTTTTAAACACAACTCAATTAATACGGTGAAAAAAATGTTTAGGGACATGAGGAACACAAGTTTCTTAACATGGAGTAAAAGAGTGATAGAAAAGTTTAATCAGTTAGTTTTCATTCTTGTAAATTTAATGTATATCAAAGTTTCATATAGGAATGGGTAAAATGGTCTTGGGTATTTAGAATATTACAGAATAGAAATAATGCATTTTTGAATAAATGAAAAAGAAAACTATTGAATTTTTTAATTGTTGTAGTCAGATCCCAAACCAGTTTTAAATCACATGTTCAAAACTGCCCCAGCATGCTACTTCACCAGTAACAATTATGTGCCATCTTCAGCCCCCCTAATCGAATAGATAAAAGAAAGAATAAACTCAGAAACCAAGGAAAAACAAAACAAGTATGTTATAAAAAGTCGATGAAATATAAAACATGTGCCCATATCACTACCATGTCCAAATTCAAGAAATACAGTTTGTCCCTCAAAAATGGTGCACGCAAGTACTGTCCATTTCAAATATACAATGTCGGCTTGCAGTGTTTTTAATTTACATGGCTTTTGGCTTGAAACTTTCAATTTCACCTGTTTCCAGAGATATGCTGTCATAAGCACAAGCGCTCAATTTTGAGTTGGTGCCGCTTTTGCCAAGACAGAACATATCTGCCACCTTGCGCACTCATCTCATGAAATGTCCTGATTAAGATGGAAAGAGTGGACCATTTGGGGAAACATGTACCCTTCCACTTTTCTGTGGATGACACCAATTTGAAAGTCTGGGGCATAGCATACGAGGTGAAGGTGATAAAGCAGACTTACCTCATCATTGAAAATGACATGAAAGAAGAAGATGAACAGCCCCTGCACAAACGAATGAGAGATGAACTTATGTTAAAATTCCTTTCAAATCTACCTGTAAACGGTCTCAGACTTTTTCTCCTCAGAAATGCCCTTAAGATCTTAGCTGATCCACATCAAATCCTTTGAAACCTAATGTATGTGTAAAGATGTCCATTATAAATACATCTGTAAAGTTTCAAATCAATCCAATATAGGGTTTTGTTTCTTTGAGGTCATGTTATAGTCTGTACTGCCATGTGAGGCTGCCTGTGCACTGAGTACCCAAAGGGAAAAGCTAACATTTTCTGGCAGTCTTGAAAAAATGGGCACCTTCACCGTAGCTCTGATGTTCATAAATTGGTTTCAAAGTGACTTTTAGACATCATCAACAGAAAATGGATTGGCACCATAAAATGCATTGCATGTGGTAACTTTTGGGAAAATATTGGGAGGGCAGATTCTCAGCTCTTTTGTAGGGTTAAAAATGCTCGTAGCTTGAATACTTGTGAAGTTGTTTTGTTTGCCAAATCTGAGACAGGAAATGAGACTTAGCAGTTGGATTTAAAGAAATAAATTCTCTACTGTACATGTAACCAATTATCTTGGATTGTAATATGAATTATCTTTCATCCACAGTTTTGCAGAAAGTCCTGGCTTGACACAAAATTCTGCCTGTGTAAATGTGCATGAGACAAGCAATGGTCTCCCTTACAACAATATACCATCATAAAGACTTTAAACCAGTCTGGGTCACTACTGAACACCGACTCACAAAACCCACCTGCAGGCAGTTGAAAATAACAAAGAGATAGGCAAAAACCGTGCTATCTTTGATGATGAGCAGCAAGCCAAACAGCCAGGTCAGGCCCAGGATGGGTGTCATCACAACGACAGCCTTCATGCCTGACCTGATCATTGACAAAAATAAAACAAACAAAGAACACAGGAATCAGAATTAGAAGTTTAACCAACATTGACAAAATAAAGCCAATGTGGAAGATGCATGGATAAAATACTGTAACACCTCAACCACAGAAATCTGTCTCAGATTTGAAAGAAAAACATGCCAACCAATGAGATCTTCTACTTTTGCCATGCTTCTCTGAACAGATTATGTGACATACAAGGGCATCCACATCCTTACTCTGAACACGCACTTGACACATTACAACCAGAGTATATGTGACTGGAGTTCCATATAGGCCTCTTGTGTACAGAAACATGTCCAGAGGGGGTGTTTTGGGGTTCAAACCCCCTCCATTTATTGACAAATTTTTTTAGGGGCCCTACTCTAAAGGATGAAAGATCCCCCCCAAAGTGTAGAACTATAGGGGTCTTAGTTTGTGTGTATGGTTTAGGACAAAAAACAAAGAGATTGATTGGATTACCAACAGTGACAGCTAATCCTTCCCCCTTGTACAAACAAAACTTCCTGAAAACCCCCAAGCAAAAATCCTGCATCTGTGCTTTGCATGTATGCGTTTCTGATGCACGACATACATGGTAGGGTTGAAAGATCTTGGGGAGTTTCTCAAATCTCGTATCTGAATTGAGAGGCACATTTTCTTGTAATCAGAATTGATAGGATATCTCTATGACTGCAAAGAATTTGCAGGACAGTGATGACCTTCACTAGTTACAGCACAGGAAAAACTATCTAGCCTCCCCTGCTCTTTCAATGAGCATAGGAGCAGATTCAGAACCCATTTTTGGGGGGGGGGGTTAAGGGTGGAAAATTTGGAACTTTTTTTCCATGTAACCATTTATGATCTCTCTGAGGGGCAAGCTACATCTTGGAGCTTCTCATACACTTTGGGGACAAAGAGAAATTAATAAGCCCCCCAAAAAGCCTTTTGCTCATTATTTGTCAATAAAAATTCTGGCCCCAGAGGGTGGGGGAAGGGGAACTCATTACCCCCCTTGGGGCTCGGCTTTGAGTGTGCACTGCACTGCCCATCCAATTTGTTTCGGGAAAACAAAAGGCTGAGAATAAAACCTTGCGAGGCTAGGTTTACTATACCACTTGAAGCAGTCAACATTATAGATATCTGAGAGAGTCCTATTAATTTACACTGCACAAGGATTGATACATGGGCCTGAAAATGTAATTTATTTTTGTAATTTGTATACACCAAATGTGGAGCAAGACCAAAAGGCTAAATTCTGGAGCATTTTTTAGCTCACTTTGGGAAGGAAACCAAATTCCAAAGGGGCAAAAAGGATCCACCGATGAAATGAATATATTAATCATGCTCTACTTTAACTGGATGAATTTCCTTAAAGTCTGGCGCTCACTTGATCTTGTCCTTTTCAGACTTATCTTTGTTGACCTTCACTGACATAAACACGTGCAACACCATGCACATCACCACCAAATTGACCTGAAAAGTAAAAAAAAAATCTGGATGGTGAAAGATTTAATAACAAACGACAGTAATCTTACATCAGGGCTGGCTGAGGACAGATCTATCACAGAGATAGTAGTGATCACTTGTAAATAGCAAAACTTCTGTGCAATAAATGTTTAACTAACAAGTTTCAACTATTGTCAACCAGCAACAAATTTCCTCTATTGGCATGGGCTTTTTATCAGCATATCTACAAAACCCCTGAACAGTGTCATTTGGACATTTGAAACCACAGTCAATCTGCCAACTGAGGGATCCAAATGGTAGCACCCCCAAATTTGAATACTGAGCTGTAGGAGACAGTCTTTAATCACTATAAACTATGCCCTGCTCATATCTTTGGTTTCATTACCATCTTGGCACCCTCCCATTGCAACTGCACATGCACCCTCCAATTTTTGTGATGACTGGATCCAGGCAGTGACTTTTCACATGTGACTGTGGTCACCATTTCATCACTCAAGTAATAAAAAGTTTTCTGCGAGGCTCACTGAATTAAAGGTCTGATTCCTTTAGTATATAAGCAAGCAACATAGGCTACAAAGTTCATCATGTGAAATAATGTTCACTTACTGCCAATACAAAGTAGGCCGGTCCAAGGAAGGCAACCAGAGCCCCAGCTCCAGATTTAACGGAAATCCAACAACTGAAACGCGAAATAAAAAAGAACAAAAATGAAAAGAAAAGAAACTCACTGACAATGTAAAATGTACATATCAAACTAAATTTCACTGTACCATTTTTCATGGGTGTCATGAATGGGTAAGGAGAAGGGCACTTGCCTCGGAAAAAAAGTTGAAATATGAAAAAAAAGTAAAAGAAATAAAAGAAATAGAGAAGAAAAGGGATGAAAATTACCAAACTGCTTGAAAAACAACCCCCAAACTGACCTCCTCCTGCTCTTAAATGTTTATTATGGTTTTAGGTGATAGGTGCTTTACCATCCCTAGACCCCTTCCTCCTCCCCCAAAAAAATGGTTCCCCTGGGAGAAAATCCTGGCCTCGCCAACATCAGTGCTAATCCATCATGTCCATCACTAGTCACTCACAGTCATAAGCCACACCACCAACTATTCATGAACTGTGACAGGGGTAATCCTTTGCCATTTCAAGACTGGCCTGTGATAGGGCTTGTGATTTGACTTGTCAACAACGCTGCACTGTGTGACACAAGTTTTTCTTGTGAAGAGACAGGGTCGTGTTTCCTTTAACACTGTGAAGAGAAGTTAGTCAAAACACTCACATCTCGCCCACTCCGTAATCCATGTGCCTTATGCCAAAGCTGATGGCCACAATTACCAGTGGAACACCTTAACAAGTATAGAAAGATGGAAAACTCATATCATATTTACACACTTCAAACTCTTTATGTTTGAAAACTACGAATGTACAATTCAGGGCACTGCACAAACCCATGTGGGAGTTTTTTTGTTGCCAGTGTATAATCATTTTTAAAACCATCTGACAGATGATAGCAAAGGATATGTTTATTTCAACAACACTGATAGTAATATAAAGTTTGTTTTTCCAGTTGGGTAATTCCAGAAATTAGGGGTCCAAAACTGTGACATTTTCGTGTCCCTGTTACATCTGACCTTTGTTATTTGACATGGAAATATCACCGGGCTTGATATCAAATTATTACTATTTGTTTGGCGGGTAATTTGCATTAATTCAGCACTCTCGGTAATTAGAAAATGTGTTCTGAACTTACAAAATCATATGTCAGATGTGATGGGGACACGAAAAGAAATAGACCCCTAATTTCTGGAATTACCCAGTTGTCTTTTGTGCTGGAGCTTATCATCACTACCAATGTATTAAGCAATGATTAATATGCACTGTCAGTCCAGAAGAGAAGTTACAGTGTACGAATTGGGGCCTAAGCTGTTGAAGCCCATTTCAGGCATTTATATATATCCTACATGCACATGTATGAAAATGATCACCACCACACCCTTTGACTTACTACCACACCCTTTGACTTACTACCACACCCTTTGACTTACTACCACACCCTTTGACTTACTACCACACCCTTTGACTTACTACCACACCCTTTGACTTACTACCACACCCTTTGACTTACTACCACACCCTTTGACTTACTACCACACCCTTTGACTTACTACCACACCCTTTGACTTACTACCACACCCTTTGACTTACTACCACACCCTTTCACTTACTACCCCACCTTTTCGCTTACTACCACACCCTTTCACTTACTACCACACCCTTTGACTCACTACCACACCCTTTGACTTACTACCACACCCCTTCACTTACCCCAGCCAAAGAGGCAGTAGTAGATCAGGTCAATCCCGCCCTTCAGGGCACGGCGTACTTTCATGTACATGTGCACCCCTTGGATGAAGATCCAAAAGAACACGGCCAGAAAGAAATAGTGCGTCAGACCGGCCACCACTTTGCATAAGGTCTGAACGGAAAGGAGCCATATATTATTGAAACAAATTTGCAACATTATGACAATAACCTTGTGAGAGTTCAGTTCAGTTCATATCTTTTATTTGTTACCAACACATCCCGTAGATGGACAGATTGAATTATTGAACATATTATCAAGAGCTTGTCGAGTAGAGGCCTCACTGAGTGAAGTTAACAAAGGAGATTTACAGTTACAAGTGCACTTATACATCATTTGCTAATCTTTCTCAGCTCTTTAAACCCAAAAGTTAATAGCTGGATTTACAGCTTTCTCCAGGCCCTATATAGGCATCACTGTTACGCAGGGTGGGGTGTATTCCGTCCAAGGGACTAGCACCAATTTGATAGACTGGTAAGTGCCGCAGCTTGACCATACATGTTGATGTCAAGCATGTACTGAGCATGTTACACAAAACAGGAAGCTTTAGAAGCTGACTGGGTCTGTGCATGTCAGAATGACAACAGAATACCACATGCATTTTATACATAAAAGTGGCTGATCTGAGAGGTGGGGGGCAATTATAAGAAGGGGATGCCCCAAAATGGAGGTGAACCAGCCAGCAAGTGAGATCTATTATGTACTCACTGACGAGTTGCTCACGATGCTTCCAACGAGAAACATAGAATGAGCAATGAGCAAGGCAGCTGCAGTGTGCTTCAAGATGCTGATACGAGTACTGGTCAACTGCCTATAAACGAAGGAAGGAACGCAGGATCCTAAGATGCATCAGAGTATAAACTAAACATGTCACTGATACCATATAAAAATTTTCTCCCAAGTTTTGGTGACTTTCTCAGTTTTAACTAAAAGTTTAGACAAATCAAGTGCAAAAGGTTAAAAAAGTATAAAGTCCAAAGTTGTTGAGACCGGCAAAAGGCCACACACAAGATAAGTGGCATGACCAGTCACTAAACCATTCCCAAAACTAGTCACAAGATCGATCAAAAAATCCCTCAAGAGTAACAGGGGGAGAATAACAGAGGAATGCTTTTGTTGCAGTTCACTTTTTCCCATTTTTGTCACTTTATTTGTCCTTTGCCTCTTTACTTTTTAAACAGTCATCGTTCAAATTTTTTGTTTCTGCATACACTGCACCAACTGCACCAAACCATGGATCATTTACCCAGGGATGTGCAACTTAAGTTCAGAGCTGGTTCAGTGCGTGTTTCGGCCGGCACAATAACAAAGCAGAAATTAAGTTGGATTATGTAACACTTTCTCTAATAATAAAACATATATTCCTGTCTACCACTTGGTTTTCTTGTAATATTTTAAGTCAGGGTACACCCTTTCTAAAATATGCTGATCAAGATATTTCATCCTATACATTCTGAGAAAAGTGTACCACAAAATTGGGGAATTTTGCCTCATTAGAACTTCATTTCTCCTTGAAATCGATAAATGAAGAAGATTTATTTGTCAAAACGAATAGATTTAAGCACCGCGTCAGCGCGTCATCTCGGCATAACCACGGCTGCACTGTACATGCTGCATGCTGCAACGGGTGTCATGTGGTCGCGAGTTTTTCGAGAAAGACGAGAGCGCCTTCGGGGGTAATAACAATCCGTAACACGCATGCAACCAAGGTCGCACATGCGTTTGCACTGGGGCCACTCGCGGTTGCACATCCCTGGGTAAATGGTCCGTGACCAAACCCAACATGACAATTCCAGAGCAATACAGGCATTTCACCATAGTGCACCTCCAAGAGTTTGCAACGCGTTGACCAATCACACTGCGTGCATTGTGATTGGTCGATGCTTTTCAAACTCTTGGAGTTGCACTATTGTGAATCGCCCATATTTATGGTTTGGATTTCAACTTGAGTGTATAAGCATGACAACCATTTAACAAATGAGAACTCACCTCAGGACATTGAGAATGATGAGCGTGAGAAGCAAGCAGATGATGGAGATAGTCAATCCAAGATAGGTTAGAACATCCAGGGCGACAGTATCCCCTTTAGACAACTGAAACACAGTGGAGAGAGACACAATGGGTAAACTGTAATGCATGACTAAATATGTACCAGGAATTCAAGTGGAGAATAAATTAAGGGACGACCAAATCCTCAAATGCCTCATCTGGACACCAAAATTCACTAGGTACCTCTTATGCCTAATTGTGAGCTAACGCACGTTAACCTTATATTGCAACTTTGCATTTCATATTTTCTGTACTTGATTATTTGGTTTCTGATCATCAAAACTTTGAGAGGACGAAAAAGTAATATTATCTTTCTTCCACACTAGTTGGGACAATCTGTCGCCCCAATAAGGTAATTACTTTTGAATCACTGCATTGTAATGGTGCCCTTTTTGCAGTCTGGTGGTACATGTCTGCTTTGCATCTGATGGTGTTGTTATGTTATTAGTTGGCCTTGAGGTAACTATTTAGTTGTGCACAGTGATTTTAACAGTTAGTTTTATAGATATGACATGTGACACTCTATGATTAACAGCAACAGAGATGAAGAACAGAGTTCTTACATTCAACGGATTGGGCGAGACCAGCACAGCAAAGTTGGTCAAATGGCTGCATGAGCAAACAGTACTTGTGGTCTTGCTTAATGTGGTGCAGCCGTCTGTTGACCAAACAGAGCTGTGAAGATGGAAACATGATGCCTTTTATAGCAACTGTAGTCACACAGAGTCTTTGAAATGTCTTCCCCATGTCCCACATGACCTTTGTTGACCTTTTTCCAAATCAAACTGAGTTTTTAAAACTTCTAGGAAACAACAAAAATTGTATAAGGCTGCCTTTTCAACTAATGACAAACCAATCCATAAGTTGGCAGCAGGTTTTCAAAATGAAACTTACCGATAATGATGCATAATAAGATAACGTTTTCCCCTATTGGACAATGGCAGACTCACAACCAACTTTTCAGGGGAATTTTTCTTTTGGGGCCAAAAATTTAATTTTTTTTAAGTCACCTTTTGCAGTCTTTCCGAGGTGTTGGGCTAAATTGGGGGACTTTTTTTACACACTTCGAAGGAAAGCCAATGATATTATCCAAAATTCACCTCTGTCTCTTTTTTTTTAAACTAAAAAAATGACCCTTAGGTGGGAGGGATGACCCCCATTAGCACCCCCATTCATCCTTAACAAGTGAGTGACATAGAAAAACCTGTCAACCTTTAGCAGCCATTAAGGTTTTGAAATGTCAGTTGTAAGTTTGCAGTGGCAGATAATCTCTTTTGGAGGTTACTATGAGTCTGAGAAGAATTGTGAACTCAGTGTATCAATCTGATACACTGTTCCAATTTAAATAGAATTAACCGAGTCTCCTCAAAACCTAAAAAAATCCCCTCACACCAGAGATTACCGAATGTATGTAGCATTTACATTAAATTTAGGAGTAATGTACTTTTATTGTCTTATCTTGGAAACTGAATAAGAAACGTAACCCGAGAGCCAAGCGTGCAAGTCTCTCATGTGGACTTAGAAACAACAACGATAAGATGAATCACTAATGTAATAAAGGCATAATAAAAAGATTCGGGGAACTCACTCTTTGAGGAATGCACATTTAGCAATTTTGTCACCAGCAACCTAAAAATGATAAGACAACAAATGATCAGCATAATGTTGCATCAGTAGTTATGTCAACTCTCTTTTCATTATTTTCTGTGTGCTTGTGCTCATCATCAGAATAAATCATCAAAGTACCAATTTTGGATTAATGCTAAATAATCAACTGTAATTACAATCTCATGTGAGACATTAGTACATCATACCAAAAAGAAAGTATGGGGGTTGAGCCCAGCCCAAAAAGCTCTCATACAGGACTGAATATGTATGGAACTTATCAACTGACATCATTGATTTGCAGCAGGCAGCTTGAAAATGCAACATAAAGTAAGGTGAAGTACTTAATAAAGTAAAAAGCAGTGTTGTAGTCGAGTACTTTTTCCGAGTACCAAGTACTGCCGAGTACTTTGACTGCCGAGTACAAAGACAGGTCAAGTACTTTGCCATCCGAGTACAAGTACTTCTAATTCTGAGTACTTGGAACCAGACTACCAATGCCCAAGTAAATTGCGGGACCAATCTGGAGTACAACAATATAATTCGCGTATGTGATTGGTTAAGTATGCCCACAGATGGCAAATGGGGCGTATACATTAATGGTTCCACATTTGGCCTTCTTTTTGTCAGAACTGTATCGAATATTCAGCTTATGATGTTACTTTTAAGCAAATAAAATGTGGTTCACAGGCAGGGTTAGTCCCCTATGGATTGTAAAGTGACGAACTAGTTCCCCAGATGTCTTTTACCCATGAATTTTGCAGGCAGATCCTACCCAAGATCTTTTAGGATAAAAAACTTTGGTATGAACGAGGACCATTTTGTCCAGAGAGCAGACCCAGAACCTCCAGTTTCCTGCATATCTGAACAAGACGAGAAGCCTAAACAGTGCATAAAAACTGCCACGCAAAAGCATCTGGGACAAGTTTACCTGAATAATATGCAAGACATGAGATAGTTTCTTAAGACATTATGTTACCAATCAGAGGAGTACTAGTGCACCCAACCACACCTGATGCCTCACCTCTGAATGGGAGATTTCAATCTGCACATTGTCCTTGAAGTCAGTTAGTGAACTGGCATTGATGACGATACCAACCAGCAAACTGTGCACAGTGGCCCTATCCCTGTAATGAAGATGAAAAACAGACTGATTGTTCTTTGATCATGCACACCACAAGAATAAACAATCACACATTGGTGATAAACAAATTAACCCACCAAACACCGCACATTAAATAACAGAGGACAGGAACACAACTGACAAGTTTCCATTCTTCTGAATTAAAGTGCAGAATTTTCCTTGAAACAGTTTTTAACACCATTATGATATTAAACTTGTGCTAACTTAAAATCTACCTTATTGAAAAAATTTTCCCAAAAATTTGCCCAACCTAAAAATGGATTGAAGTTTCTCTTAAAAAGTGCTGAGTCATGGTGAATTGCACTTTATCTTTTGGTCTAATTATATACTTTCCTCATTTTTTGGTATATAAGCAATCTTATCTGTCATTTACTAATTGAGGTATAAAATTTGCTTAGACTTTGGTCTCCAGGCCAGATTTTCAAAGAGCTGGGTCAAACATAGGTGTGGTGTTTTGTACATGTAGAATTCATGTGTTCCTTTTATGCGATATATATACCAGTATGTATAGACTAGTAGTACATGTACTATCCATCCTTTGAATAAATAAGCCAAAGAGTCCTGTTGAGGTTGACTTTATACCAGAGATGTTTTGTGGTCTGTAGCCTGGGCATAATGACCTGTAGCAGTACATTCAAGGCTGAACAAGAGCATATCAGTACATGCAATGTACACTATGTGCTCTTTATAAACTAACTAGATTGTACAGTAATTATGACTGGTTGTACCGCTCATAATGGCTCCATTTGCAAAGAACACCAGATCTGCTACAGACTGTGTAGACTAGAGTACTGCATTAAAGTGAACAAAAACTGAGCTGTGGTAAAGTGAAATGTTCCCAACAGAATAAACTTTGTAATGAGTTTATACCCAAGTGGCAACTACTAGAGATTGTGATTGGGCAGTGTGCTTCTATGTAAAATTCAGCCATATGTCTGTTGATGTCAGGTCCCAAATTAAGAGAGCCAACGAGTATGAGCCCGATCTTTAAAATTTTCTGCATATATCTGCTCATGTACATATAAATGCAAAGCTTTCCAATTCCCAGATTGCAGAGACAACTGTACCACAATCGATCACAGAGATAACTGCAAAACAGACTACAATTTTGTCCATGATTTAAACTAGGATTGTCGCAAAACGAGAAGTTTAATTTTTGTTTTCACAGAGGGGAAATTGTGACTTTGAAAAGTTACTTGAGACATCTCAAGCAGTTGACAAAATAGCACGGAAAGAAAGGAAGAGGAATGAAGAGAAGAAAATATAACGCTGAATTATGACTCAGAGAACAACCCTAAAAGGAGCCTGAAAGCATACCATCTACATGTACTTCATATCAAACAGGCTTTTCATTCTCACCAAGGAGAGAGGTGATTGAGGTAAAGAGCGGTAAACATGCCGGTAATATTGAATCTGAGCCCCACCACTGTGTGGAAATACAGCAAATAAACACAAAACTAGCCCAAGTTTGTGATGGGTATGGACTCAGTAACAGCCTGAGCAGCTGCTGCAACTGCAACATTCATTGATTTGAACATTGAATCCAAAGATGGCAATAATTGATCACCACAAACTGGCAAGGGAAAGGAAATGTCTTCGATGGTGAAAGTGTGATTGGAAGGAGAAAATCTGTAATTTTTACTTTGACAGAAAAAGAGATGCAGCTCTTTCTCAAAATAATTAGGTTTATAACAAATTCTGCCCAATCGAGGTCAGTCATAGAAGACTGCTGTGATTATTGCAGAGCCTGGAGGACATATGCATGTTACAGGCAGCAATGAACTACCAATGCTATTTACCCTCTCTGATGGTCATACTACAGTAAGTACAGACATCAGTCATTCAGTGGACAATTAGGAACAAAAAACATTCAAGGAACAGTTTTGAGCCATGCACACAGGAAGTGAGAGGTTTTAGAGCACTGATTCTAATTACTTTATTTAAAAAAAATCAAAGAAAAACCAGAGAAAACTCAACCGAAAAAAAACAAACTAGAGATGAAAACCTTTTAAAAATAAGCTGGTTTACCATGACTCAGCACTTTTTTAGAGAAATTTCAATCCATTTTTAGGTTGGGCAAAGTTTTCTGGAATTTTTTGGTCAATATGGTAGGTCTTAAATATCATCAGAACATCACGTGTTTTACGCAGGCAAACTTTGCTTTTATGGTAAATAATGAAATCTCAATACACCTGTGGAGATGGATTGCTGAATAACTGGATTTCATGTCACTTACTTCACTCCCTCCAATGTTGAAGGAAGATGCTTCCGAATTCCTTGGTAGTATGAAGTTACAGCCAACCGGCCAGTTTGACCTGCAGTTTCAAAGAACAAAGAAAAATTGCTTACATAGATATCCACAACTCCACCTCATTATCATATGCTTAGAAAGTTTGGACAGCTTGACTGCACTGACCACTGGATTCCAGACAGGCTCTGCTTAATTCTCTTCATTAGTCTGTTTCTGATGACATATCTTAGCGCTCAACAGTCTCTTCCGACAAAGTGATTTCTATTGATGCAATAAACATTAGTTTACAAATGTTTAACCCCAACAGCTAGCAATGTGTTGTCTTACATTTTCTGGATCCATTTCTTCACACTTTTCAATAGATACAGATTAACTGCTGTTAAAAAGGAGCAAAAGAAGTTCATGCAGAACATGTGAGATGTACGAAAAACATCCTCACCGGTCCCGAAGATGCTCTGAGGAATGGTGACGGCAACTTTTGGTTTTTCATCTTCTCCAGTGCCGTGTCCCAATTCCACAGTGCCACTCATATTGTGTGGATGAAGCACATCCACCTTTGTATCTGAAAATCAACAGGTATCATATAAGTATGCCGACGGGAAACGGACAGCCACTCAGAAAAAAAAAATTGCAGGGTGTCCGATGCCTCCTGCATACTGAGTTATCCTAAATTGCAAAGTGCTTGACGTGTTTCTTTGGCATTTTAATGGCGGGGGGAGGCTCTGTAATATTTCCTCGTGCCTCCATTCAATTTCCTTGCTCAGAATTTCAATAAGACCAAAAAATCATAACACCGACATTCGAAACTGTGATGGCACACCTTTAAATATATGCCCTTCAGAAATTGAGGTTAACTCTTCGAAACTTGTTGGGTGTGCTCTGCCAAACGCACAAGTACCTACTTTGGATGCATGCCCTTGCTTACCACATATGGACCATCAGTTCTATTAAAGAATTCCATATCTTGTTCTCATGCATGGAGTGGACAGAGTAACCCCCACATAATTGGAATCTATTTAGAGTCCAGCAAATGTCCCTTGCCTAATCATAATCATTTCGAACAGATTAACAGATGGCACATTATTTAGAAGGAATTCGATTCTACAGGTTGGTGATGATGTAATAAGCGAAGTCATCTGTTGAGAAAGTAATGAGCATATCATGTCACAAGCAGTACTGATGGCATTTGTTTGATATTTTGTTGGCACAAAGCTCTTGAGGACAATCCTGTTTATAGTCCACTCTCTTCCCTCATCAGTCGGTGTATCCCACCATCTCTCGGATGCTTCACACCAACAATCAAAGGAGAAAGTTTGTCCTCACCAACAAACGTATTATTGACGATCAGCGGAACACTGCCACTCTCGGTTCTGATATAGGCAGCAATCGTGTTGTCCACTGCTGCACTGAGGCGTACACCTTCCATAAAACTGCTTGTTGCCATGCTACCCTGCAAAACAGAACAGAGTCACATCAATATATTACTTTCAAAATGGTAGCAAAGTTCTTCATATGTTCTGAAATCATGCCTTTGTCCTGACCAATTTTCTTTTGTCTTTGCTAGTCTAAGAATCATCCATTTACAAAACTCTATAGCTCTCCAAATAAAATGTTGGAAGTTTAATTGTGCAGTGGTGCACCCAGAATTTATCACGAGGGGCCTCGGACCCAAATTTACAGGGCACATCATTCCCAAAGAACTCTAGATCCTTAACCCTGAGAGAGGAGGGGTAATGTGCCCCCCTCAATAGTTTTTCTTGTATTGCCGCAGTTCACTGTTTTCAGAAGTTGAACCTCTAGTAGTTCTTAGATTAACTCTTTGCAGTCATTTTAACACCATACATTGTGTTTACAACATCAAACCTACTGTTCTTTCAAAGTGCACATTTTCTGGAGACGGATCAGCCAAAAATGTATACTTTTCCCACTGCACTGCTCGATGCATGCGAACTGTTTTCTCACAAAATTTAATATCAAACAGAAATTTTCTGTCTCAATTTTACCTCAGTTGTATTCTTGTTAATTTCAAGGACCTGGTTCACAATCTCCATGTAAACCTGTAATACAAAAGAAGACATTATTGCGTATGTGGCAGAGCCAGAAATGAGTAAGTTATTAAATACACGTTTTTACATAAAAGTAGTTCCTCATTAAAATGTTAGCTTTAGTTTAGAGTTCGTGTTTTTTTTCTAGTAGTGTGCTCCCTCTGTTTGTTTAAGCCCCAGCTTCCCCCTATATAGTGTAGGCACATGGTCTGGCCACACTCAGTGTAGCATATCAGCAGAGACCAGTCAACTTCACATGTATTGTTACTCCTAACTGGAGTGTGGTTTTCTGCTTGAGCCTTTGTCTGCTGGACATCAGTGATTGAAGTCTGAGTGTATACTCTCATAAGGTCCATTTTACACTGTGTTGGGTTTAGCTTTTGGTTTTTAGTCTTTTGATTTAAGTTCTTTTAGTCCTTAAGTCCTTTGAGGTTTTTGCATTTTTAGTGCCTTTTCATTAATGAATTCTTTTTTGTCTATTTGTTGAAGTCAAATATTGGTGTCTGAGTCCTTATTAATTAGGTATCCTGTGAGTTTTCCCTCAAAGACCCTTGGTCTATTAGAGTTTTTGTTGTTTTGCGAGTTCCCCATAGTGTGCCATTTTTCCCCATTACACATGGCTAGTAACGTACGTAGTTGCCACACTGTACCACAGCCTGATTATTCTTAGCCAGTTTTCGTGCAATTTATTCAATGTGTGGTCAGAAATTGTGTGTGAAAAAGGAAAATACAAACATTAACATTTTGAAAATAAGTTATAGGAAGGCCACATGGGCGTTGCCAGGATTTTTCCAAGGGGAGCAAACCATATGTCCCATTGGGTGGGGAATTTCCTGAGGGCAAGCTACATATAGTAGGTCTAGTCCATTAAAGGTGGTGGGGTGACTTTAATGCACATCTGTGACTTTCATCCCATTTCCTTTCTTTTTTCTATTCATGTCATTTCTTCCCAACTTTTTTTCTAATGTTCCCCCATTTTTAAGGGGGGGGGGCAGCAAGTGCCCCCTCTTGCCCTCCCCTTGGAAGGCCATATTGCGTTACAACTGAATTGATCCTTTAAGACATGCATGATCCTAAGAGCATGAGCTCACAAGGTTCTGGCTACCCCATTTCCAACAAATCACACCATTTAAAGTGAACAATATTGCTTGACAATGCATTCAATGTCAAAAACTTTTCCAAAAACTGTTTGTATTAAAAAAACCCAGGTTTTTGCAAATGGTTGATTGCAAAGGAAACTGCATCTACTGGAAAGTACATCCTTGTTTTGACAGGGACTTTTGAAAGGCCATGTAAGCCTTTTTCATACAGGGTGAAAAATCTACCAATCAAAATTCTCTCTGGGGCCAAATTTCATGGGGCACTGTAATGGGAAACACTGCTTAGCAACAAAAGGAAAACAAGCTTGGAACAAGTAGAACAAGGTGCCAAGAATTTTTGGGCACATAACCTTATTTCGCTTGAGGGCCAATCCAGTACCTAGTTTTGGGGGTGCCAAACTTTTTTGGATGGGGGTTGGAAAACAAACACTTTTTTGTAACCTTTTATGGCCTTTCCAAAGAGTAAAGAAACATTTTTGGGCTTTTTAAATGCTTTTCAAAAGAAGGGAAATGAAACCGAATCAAACAATTTTTTACTCCTTTCTTGGGTGCTACGGCTCCCACTGGCCCCTGAATTTTCCCTTGAGTTTGCTCAGCAATGGTTTCCTGCACTTTGTAGATTTATGTCCCAGGGCTCCATAAGATTGCCATTGACCCCCCTGCCACATCTGATCCAGTTCGGACAGTACCTTCAGCACATTTCTTCTCCGATAATCTTTTTCATCCACCAACAGTGCATCCACTTTGTCGCCAGTGGTCTTCAGAATGACTGCCAGAATTGACGCGTTAATGCGATCTGGCGTTCCTTTGTACTTGCTCAAGTATTTGGCTACAAAGGTCAGGTTGCTGAGGAATTCTTCAGCATTTGCACTAGTATCAATCTGTAAAACGATATTCAGTTTGGTAATTACACAAAGGGGAAACAGTACAATGCAAGTCAAGATGGGGCATTGCTTGGATTAAAAAAGACACTTCAAAAGAACCATCACGCTGTTAACAAAGTGAACTTGGGAAGTGCACATAGGCCTACAAGAAAAGTACCTCAAATTCTGTGAAGTATTTAAATGCTTAAAATCTTCAGAGTTAATGACCCTTGGTGTCATTCAGTGAAGTTACAGGCATACACAGGGGGCAGTATTTGCCCCCATTTAAAATTTTGAAATGTACACAGCACATGATTTATTGCTTTATATGCTAATTTTATTAACATGATTTATGTGCTAACTTCAGTTTTATGAGCATGACAGAGAAGTTAAAACATAAATATTCCAAAATGTCTGTGTTCTTCAAATAACTGCTTTGCTAACTTGCAGATGAATCAACTCACCCCGTTTTTCGCATCTATCAGAGTAGGTTGGTCTGTGAAACAAAACCAACAATGACTTCAAAATATATAGCAAATAACACAAAGTCTTTGTAAAATTGGAACATGGGTTTCAGGTTTTTAAGAAAAAAATGACGTAGTGAGAGATGAACAAGAATCTTTAAAAAAGTGAGAGGGGAATCAGAAGACAATGAAATGAATCATGCAAGTGGTGAAATATGAAAGCTATATGACTTGCAAAAAAGGAATCGGCAAGATCATTGAAGGAAATAGGACAATAATTTTGAGGGTGTTAATAAAGAGATAATAGGTTTCCTCACACATTTGTATACTTTTTTGTTTAAATGCCCCATTGAAGTTAGTCACAGATAATGCCAAATGATCAACAGTCAATGATCACTTTTCAACGATTGTTAATTCAATTTCCTCACATTTCAGTGCACTTCCTCTCACCTGATGGTCATGTACACAATATGTGTACCACCATGCAAAGACATATTTGGCATGGTGTACTGCATGACAAGAAATTGAAGGTGGTGCAACCAATTAATCCAAAGGGCAACAAGAACTTAATTGACTGTTTGTGAAGTTGTAAAATATGAATACATTTTTCCTGTCGTAAGTTCAGGCTTACTTATTTCTTGCATGACACGGAAATATTACAGTTCATTTGCATTTTTTCAAGTTCTTCATGCATAAAATTGTTAAAAAACTAAACTGACACAAAACGAAGTATAGAAAAAGATATGATTTTGCTGTTTAGGCTACATCAAACAAGGAAAATATCATACATGTATGCATAAACAAAACAAATATGTTTTAAGTAGAAATGTGCAGATGATAACATGATGTGATGCATTTGAATGAAGGTTACATACATTTTGACTCCAAAATGACTAAATTGTTTCATCTATTGTAAATTAAGCAACTGCAGACAATGAAGTTGAACTGTCTTTCATGATAAAGTAAGGTAAATGTATGAAATTATTGGAACAAAGTGTAAATATGGTCCCTGTCTCCATGCCTTGTAGGGAGAATTTTCAGCTCCCTTAATTTCATTTTTACAATCTCACACATGTAAGCCTCAGGACATTTTTTGCACAAAAAAAATGAAACATCAGTTAATTTTGTAATTAAAAATGATGTTTTGTTATATGCTGCTATATTCTACACATTTACTAATGGACAGGTCATGTCAAATGTTAATAAGCATTTTCTTCTGAATTGTGTATCCAAAACATGTTAATGTTAATTTTGAAATCGCACATTAGTGTCCAAACGTTCCTATTAGTTTGTAAAACCTCATTGCATATTGTTCAAGATGTGCACCAAACCAAGACTGGTGCATTTGTTTGTGATGTCACCGTCGAACTGAGCGACCACAGATGGGATGAAACATGGGTGTGAAAGGTCATGAATTAAAGATTAAAGCTGAAAATGAAGTTCACCATTTATGAATTTGAACCCAAAAAGTTTGCAAATGTGTGGGAAAATCTACAGTGATCTCCATTTCATGGGTGTATTTTTCACATACTGAATCAATTCAGTATAAATGGCTTGGTTCTTATGAAAGTTCACACATTCTCACCAAGTGGTTGTGTAATCTCCACTCTATCAGTTGTGCTCGAATCAGCAGAAGTGCTGTCAGACATACTCTCTGTGTAGATTTGAACAGTAGTGGTCTGGTGCTGGCCAGGAGTACTTCCTGGTGTGATTATTTCTGGTTTGGTTGTAGTCTCCTTGCCAGTTGTTAATGCTGTGTCTGATATCCGAGTTGAAGACATGGGGGATGTGTCAATCTTGGTTATGGAATCATCCCTATTAGTTAAAAGGGGTTCCTCAGTTGAAGATGGCTTGGATTTCATGAAGGCGTCTTCTCCAGTTGTAGCCTCCAAACGAGCAGGTTCCGTGGATAGTTCCAGAGTTGATACAGTAGTGTAGTCTGTACTTCAGTGCATGCCATCAGCATTGTGTTTGACGGTTTTTCACAGAACATGCACAATGAAAGAAGGCAGAAAATGCAGCATTCATCACAGCACATTCAAGTCATGCAGTGCAACCACAGTGCAACAAAAATAAAAAATGGTACAAATTATTCATGGACATTTGCAAACCTGAGTACAAAGAAAAAACTGTAATCTGATAATTGCTGTGTTTGGTTTGCAATGTGGTTACGATGAAATCTACGTGCAAAACTTGACCAAGGAAAGGGACAGGCCTACAAGCAGTATGATATTAGGAAGTACAGATATAAGTCTATCAAGTGGGGAAATGTACAATGGAAATGTCTTGTGTTAATATAAACCAGTGCACCCAAGCCCTTAAGTCTGCTATCTTTTCGTGAACATTGATATCTGTACTGGAAAGTATTTTGGGGGCAGATTATAGAATTTGTATATGAAGCACACAACAAATTCCCCACCCAAAGTTTTTTTTCAGTTGTAGCTGCTCATGCTAAATATAAACATCCACTACATCCAAAGCATGCGGTCTCAACTGAATTCAGACTCCAACTGAACATGAATCACTTCACGAGGACCTATTATGAAAATTAACTTCACTGTGTCAAATGCTGCAGTGACAGTTAAGATTTTGTTTCAATCCATTTGATTTTTTATCATGTCAACTTGAAAACAACAGCCCATCAAGAGGGAATGGTTTAGGACGAACTAGGTACAGACCAGTTGATTTGAAAAGGCCACTCTTCTAGTTCATGACATAGCCCTGTGGTAGATCCTTACCATCCACTCTTTATTACAGCTTGTGTGTTTTTATGCAGACACAAATGTTAAACACAAATATTTTGAGAAACTTTATGCATAACTTTTTATCATTATATTTAATGATATTTAATGTCGGGTGGGGGGATGTTGCCAGAAACCCAACCCAATAATAAGGATCCATGAGTGATTTTCCTGAAAATTTTCCTCCGACTGTCACCTTTCCAAGTACCGGTACTTTTGATGGTTTGTCAGTCAACTGCTGTTGAGTTCCTCAGTCGCCCCCTAAAATTATGTATCCCACTGGATACACTGTTGTAAAAACATGTCATTGTTCAAGCACACAAAATTTAAAATTACACAACTCCAAAATGCCTGGGAAGATGCCAAGCTCTTTAATATGCAAAGGCATAACACTTTTTGGCTTGATGTTATTGACTCTTTCTTGTTACATGTGCAGCAGAAAATGGCCTCAGATGAATTTGGGAGCATTGTTATAGGTCATGCTATTTAGCGTTAAGTGTCAACAAGTGTCAACACACCAACACGCACAAGAAGTGTCGCCAAAGCGTCAACAACTTGAAAATACCCTCTAAAGGTTTAAAAGTGGTTTTATAATATTTTAAAGACTCTACTGTGTAAGAGAAACATTGAATTCGCTTCTAGAAAAAAACTTTTTTTGTGATGTTTTTCGGCTGTCGTCTTTCTTTACTCTACCCTCCACAAGTAAATAGGATGGTGGCCGGTCGGGCTGCATGAGCAGGCCTCACTTTGTCACTCAACTTTCAACCCGTCAACCCGTTAACCGTGAGCCGTGAAATGATATTTCAGATAGATATGATACATTGAATGAAATATGTTGGAGCACAATTAATATTGTAAATTAAAAAAAAATTTCATAAATGCGCTCGATTAACCTCTTGATGGTTTGTTAACGCTTGTTGAGGCTACATAGCATGACTCCGGTTTATAAGGGGCATCTCGTGAATTAGGCCAACTGAATTGGAAGATACACCCAATGATATGAAACCTACAAATGACTCTTGATGCACTGTACCTTGTGGCATTGTATACCCATCAGTTGGTACAACCGTTGTACTTGAATCATTGGTCAAGTTAAATGGATCAAGCCTCAGAGCACTCATCTCACTCTCATTCAGGGGCCGGTCCCAAATCCCTATTTCATCCAGAGCAAGGTAGCTGCAGCCTTGATTTTGCAGTGGTACAGGAGCCTGACAGTGCCCCATCGCTGTCATGCTGCACGACTTATCCTTTTGCCCATTGGAGAAAACCGTGAGCTCTAATTGGAAGAGTCAGAAAGATGGTAGCTTTCAATGATTTTAAGGTTTTCAAAATTGAACCACAATGAGGGATTCAATAGTTACATACCCCAGTGGATGCATCAGAGGGTTTTTAGGTGGGAGGGGGCAGGTACTAGTAGTTGGATGGTCACTGGTTTGATGTGGCTTAGTGAGTCATCACTGGACGGATGGGTTTAAAGCTGGCTCTAGGATATTTTGGTGGAAGTGGCTGTTTGAGAGAGAGGTTGTTGGGGCCCTGGGTGTGACCCTGTGGTGGATGGGTCATGGGGTCCGAGGTTACGTGTACAGTTGTTTAGAGACAGGATGTCCTGGTACCTCTAATTATGCAAATAGCATACACAATGTCCTCATGCTACAAACTAAACACATGATTTGGAGCCTGCTTCCACTTCTTCACCCATGTAAAATCACAATAAAGGCAGAGGACATGTTTTGTTTCTTTCTTAAATGCCAGTTGGACCAAACAACACCAGTAAATTCAACGAATACACCATGTAGTCCATTCTTGTTATTAAACATCACCTTGAAAGATATGACAACATCAGACGGGACCAGATCGACAGAAACCAGGCTAGATGACCTCATATACCTGACCATACCAAATTCTGAGGAAAACTTCCTTACCTCCAGTGCGATTGTCCCATGTCATCCCCACATGGTTCCACAGCCACATATCAGAGGCATTATAGACTTCTGTGGACTCAAGTGTGATGTTGAGGGCCTGGAAAGAGACGGTTCTTTGGTCTCCTTTGAACGCAATCTACAAGATGGGAAACACAAGTTATCATTAGCAATGCTCATTGCGATGTAATTGACTAAAATTCAGTCACAGAAATGGGTATAGCCAAAAGGTAAAAATACTTTCATGTATGCATGTACATTATTACAGCAGCGCATCTGGGCCACTTGCAAAAAATGTTTTCAAGTTATTATCTTGCCGCGGCAAGTTATTATCTCACGGCAGCCAGATAATAACTCACCACAGTGAGACAGTAACTCGCTGCAGTGAGATAATAACTTGAAAAAAAATGTTGTGCAAGTGGCCCCTATACACTTCGATATATATGCTTCCCTACATTTTACTTTCGGCGTCATTCAAAATGAGAGGCACATTCTCTATTTTCAAGCTGAAGTATCTCAATCAGGACTGCGACCAAGCTACAGATCCAGGTTAATTCCACCCATAACATACTAGATTTGCTATGAGGTGCTTTGGATGAGTGGATCTTGTCAGTCCTGGTGGAGCTAATCTTACACAGAAATAAAGAACTGTGATTGCAAACTCATGTGCATGTTGAACACTGTAGCTTTGAAAGAGATGAGAAATGGTACTGCTAAGACAGGACAACTCTGATTTCAAACCCAAGTAGCCTGACTGGAGTTTTTCAGCCTCTGTTGGCAATCCAGGAAAAAATTTGGAAATTTTCCAAAGTTTTGTCCTTCAACCTGAAAGAACCAAAATCTGGTTCTTCATCTGTACCTGGTGTTTCATGTAGTCTGGTTACAGAAAAAAGCCACCCAGTGATGTAACTAGGGCTAAATATCCCAGAGGTATACACATTTTTTTTCAAGGGGGCACCACAAAACAATAAGCTGCAGTTTAATGGAGATTATTCACAGATTTCAAAGGGGGGCGGGATGTGCCTGCATACCCCCTCAGTTAGGCCACTGCTAGTGACTCTGCTCCCTGACAAGAGAGAATACCTGAAAGCCATTCTTTGAGGTGTCGTTCAGGCTAAGTAGCATGCATGTGTTATCTTTCAATGTCTCATTGACATCTTCCTTCATGCTGAACCAGAAAGCCACGGTGAAGCCATCTGCGCATGCCAGTGGGTTGGTTGGGCAGTCATTCGGATAGGAGCTCAAGGTGATCTTGGCTGACTTCAAGTCTGAAGAGTAAGTCTGGTTCAGGACCGCAGCCCCATTGAGGACATCAATACCTGCCATGGAATGAATATGAAGCTTACCTATATCAGGTTTTGCATCTCATTTAACCCCATTTTAAAATCTCATTTGGGCATTTTATGACCATTTCTGATACCTTTGTGTTTTCATGCTAATGCCAAATTGTATTAAATAAAAGTGTGTTGTCAATCCGAAAGGAAATAATTAATATTACAGTTACTTCAACACCAAACTTAGCCAGGCTTAAGGTATCTCTGCTGTCTTTAATTTTTTTTTCTTTGGTGATTGATTCAGATAATTACAGTGGGCCTGTAAGCACCAAGTTCCTCAAAAGTGCATTTCAGTTAAAAGTTTTGGTTGACAACACTTGAGCAGGAGACCTAGATTGAACAGTGTCTTCCTGCAATGATAACACAGCAACAACACTCAATTTCTTAGGAAAAGCATGCAAAATTTGTAATGTTATAAAGGGCTTGCATTTCAATAGGAACTATGAAAAAGAGATATCTAATTGTTTCAACAAATTTAAAGGAATTTAAAGTTGTTAAAAAGGAGTTTAAAGCTGTCCAGAATCGGCCTATGATCCCAGTGAAATTCATGTCATAGCTCTTTCAATTCAGAAAACAATCACTTTAAGATATGATGTATTGTTTAAGCTCTCAATTGAATCAGTCAGTCTGTAAAAAAGCCACATTTCAAAACATGATCACTAGCAGAACCTGGGTAGAAAACATGGACTATTTCAATCCTCCCACAAAAATGGGGGATGGCAAATACGGGGGAGGCAGGTTCCTAATATAGAATAAGAGAAAAATGACTTTTCTTGTCATTTCCCTTTCTTCTCAAAGCATGTAAAATGCCCCCAATTAGTCTCAGCCCTCAGACAGGTCTGAGGCTGCCTACAAAAATTCCCAGATTCCCCCCCCCTCCCAAAATGTTTTGCTCCCCAAAACTTTGGTTCTTGATCCACATGTACAAAGGGAATCTGCAGGTTTTTTATGTACTTTTATCATAAAATGAAGCAACTTGTCTTCAGAAGTTGATACTTCATATATTGGTCAAATATTAACAACCTTACTCACTCTCTGAGGGAATTTTCCCTACATGGTGAAGTTTCTCCAGCATACAAACTTTTTTAATAAACAGAGAGATACACAGCTGTTGGAAGCAACATTTTATGAGATAAAAGGTTCTTTAATTTATTAGAAATTTAGTCTTAAAAAAACATCACAGTATCAGATAAAACGAGTTTTAAAAAGTCAATGTCACATACAAATAAAAAGGAAGAAACTGAACAGCGTGTTGCTAACCTTTAATGCTGCAGAAACTGGGGCCCCCAAAAGATGAGGCAAGCGTGGATGAGCTTCCCATCTCAGAGTCCATATTCAAAAAATTCAGGCTCCAGTAGGCAAAGGTACTGTCATAAAGCTCTTCTAAAAATGCAAAGAAATGCACTCTCCCATATTGTAAGTGCAACACAAATTACAAGCATGTTAATTGGTCTCAAGTTATTCCATTCATTCTGCTGATTGGAACAATAAAAAATGTGTGCAGGAGAAATGAACAATATTCTCACAAAATGTGAAAGGTCTGACGTTTCGGTCCTGGCAAAATCTTTCTCAAAGGATGACCTTTGCCTTTAAGAAAGATTTTGCTAGGATCAAAACGTCGGCCTTCATATGTTGTGATGTGTATTAAGGTTACTGTCATCAGCAAGCAGTTTGCAGCAGTTTTGTATTACGTTCTCAGTAATATGCTGATTGAAAATGAAATCACTCACATAATTATATCTATCTAAAGATGGTCTGTGTTCCTGGCTTATAACTACCAAGAAAAGTGTCGCAAGCTCTAAGTTCAAGCTGATTGATGAGACAATAGCTGTCTACAGCCTCCTTTTGTTCCTAAAACTTGTCTTCGACCAGGCCACACATACAGTGGCGCTCTTACCATCCCCTTGATAGATGTATTCTCAAACCAACTTTAACCAAGTATTCAAGATATGATTAATCTCATATTCGGAAAACTTGAAGAGTACCACAGCCAAATGCTCGTGTCAAGAGCCCTCATATACATTACCTTATCGCCTAATGGTCTCAAACTTTAAACAGATTGTTGATAAAAAATAGCATTTGAAATCTAATAAATAACTGCATTAGCTTGATTCTAATTCAAATCCCCATCACTCTCTGAAACAACAGCGACAGCATTAATAACTGACTTAGTTAATTGACTTTATTTCGTCTCACTGTGCATTTAATTGTATGAAAAGAATTCATAGAATATTTCGAGAGTTTATTAAGAATTAAGATGACACAGTTACAACCAATACAAAGAAAGGCAGCAGACCCACAAAAAGCAAAGCTTGTTGAGTGCGGGTCCCCTGAACAGTATAAAATAGACAGTAACATAGTCAACAGATATAGAAATTTTTAACATAACACGATCAAAACTCTGTAGTGAGACATACTTTGCAAGAATTTGTGTGACATGGAATGGATGTGGATTTACCTGAAGTTAAATTTAACCATACTAACTGAATTTGGTGTGTTCAACTGAGGCTCATATGAAATAAGTAATGATATGCTGTCACAATTTGCAAACATTTGTTTACAGCATTGGAGACATGCCTTGAAATGGAAAACATGCCATGGGTGTTACCAGGGATGACCATAGCCCTTTCAAGGGGAGCACTTGCAAACTGGCAAACTTTACTGGTGATATGCAGTCAGTTTCTGAGGTATTTTTCACACAAACCAGTGAATTGTTTTTATTTTCCTTCCTTTATTTTTCTTTTCTTTCTTTTTTTCTTTTCTTCCCTTTTTTTCCGGGGAGCACCCGTCGATATACATGAAATTCACAGATTTGAGAGCTATTCACACTGATTCGAGAAAGCAATAACCGAGCAGTTCTCTGGGAAACATTTGGCTACCATCTTCCAGCTTTTTCCTGTAAGCTGGCCAGTAAAATGTAGCAAAATGCACAATCTGATCTGTCACAACATTACTCGGTTTACATTAGAAAAATTGCCATAATTGTTAGATTAAACAAAACAAATCAATTAAAATTACACATTATGTACACAATGATTGGAAATGTTCCATAACGATGTCTCCAAAACACGAGCATGTTGCTCAAAATGCGTTGGCAAAACAAGTTTTCTATAGTACAACATACTAATTATGAGATCTTTTGGAATTTAAAACCCACAAATGCTGTTCTTTCAACCTAAATACAGATAAAATTTCAAAAGTTATATTTCGTTTCAAAATAAGACAAGCAACAAACCCACAAATACTGTTCTTTCAACCGAAATACAAGTAAAATTTCAAAAGTTATATTTCGTTTTAAAATAAGACAAGGCACGCATAAGCACACAGGATGTAACGTTTGTTTACCAATTTTCTTTTGTCGTTATATCATATTTAATTTGCTGGTCAGAATTTCCACGGGGAGTGCCACAGCATCACAAAAAAAGCCATGACATAAAAAGTGCTTACCTGAGCTGATTCCTTTGTAGAGGTATTCATATCCGCTGCCAAACTATCATCACAAACAGAAAACAAAAATCGTTTGACAAGGCAAATTTCCCGTAGATATTGGCATGGTTGATGATTAACCAATTATTAAACTTGGTTACCGGTGAATCGCAGTATTCAGTGATATTGACCATACGGATAAAACTGATGTTGGATAATTCTTTCGTACTTTCAGAAACTGCACGTGCCTGACAGTTTCCAGAAACAACACTTTTGATGGCATAAGCCCGTTTGTCTCTCAAAGTTTTCTTAGTGCCAGTGACACAAACTTAAAATGGGAACACAGCAAACGCACGTTGAGGCGGGGTCTTTGTGAAATAATTTAGCATTTTGGTTAGATGAAATTTTACATTACATATTATTAATAGCTAGAAACTTTGTTTCACAGCCCCAAATTGGCTTAAAATGCATAAAAACACAAAATGAGCTGTATCCATGGCAATGAGCACGGTATGTTTTTGAAAAGTATATTTTTCTTATTTGCACCCCTGGTCCTTTCATAATACAAAGTAGTTTAAAAATATATTTTCGACCATGGACACAAATATAAAGTACTTACCTGAAAAGACACTTAAAAGGCCACAGTGACGTTATGCCGACTGCGCGATTTGGAGGAAATTGACAAAAGAGAGCACTGAATTTTTTCGGTTTACTCTCTTAAAGCTATGCCCATACCGAGTGCCCCTCAAAACAACGTCCTCTGACATATTTTCAGTTTTTACGGAGGAGTAATTTTTGTCAGCTCTTTTTCTTTTCGATTTTTTCCCCAGTCGGAATCAATTGAGTTATTGGATAGCACCGGGCATCTTGGCGAGGTTATTTGCTCAAAATCAGTTATCATCATCGAGATCACTGAGTTTCACCTCGACCGTATAGTTTTCATGAAGAGGCAAATTTGACCTTTACTGCTGTTGAAAGCACGGTGTTCAATGGGGTAAAAACAAATCTGATTAGACACCACAACAGCGGCAGCACTGCACTCATACGCAGCTTGACGCGCACGTGCATTTGACAAATCACGACACCCTATTGGTCGAAGAGGCATGTAATACGCGGGTACCACCTGCCCAGAGCGCGACCAGTGTGCCCAAAGACTGCTTCGAGAGGTATAGTAAAGATACCCTGCTGAGGTGATCCATGGAGCATTCTATTTTCCTGAGGCGAAGCCGAGGGAAAATAGTATGCTTCATGGATCAACGAGGGAGACTAGTTTTATTATAACAAGAACAGTCAATATTTGTTCTGTAACACATCACCCATGCTATGAGCTGCACAGGTGGTAGGCAAGCCTATTTTGCAAGTCCAAGCCAAGTCAAAACTGATAGTGACAAGTCAAGTCACGATTCATTAAAATAGCGACAAGAGTCCAAATCAACTGACTCGATCTAACACTCTGGTAAGGCAAAATACACACCTGGGCACTATTCATGCGGTTTCGTTGCTACAGACATAGTTCTTTGGTTGCTGAGGGGATAGGCCTAGTTCTCTTTCAGAGCGAAGTTGCACGTCTTTAGACTTTGTGGAGTGGCAGTGCAGAAAATAGTAAAGCTAGCAAGCGTCACATGGCCCACTTTTGACTAATCAAGATACAGAATCTGTGGGTAAAGCGTTATAAAAGCACACAGGCCACCAGACCCTATTCAAAACTACAGGCAAATTCACCCCTTGGTATAGGAAATTTACGTACAGTTGAAGAATTCCAGCCCAAACATTCCATGAAGCCGTTTTTCTATGGTGAACAAACCTCTATTTAAGCCTACTTAATCTGGCCATGATTCTAAACGATGCGTTTGCCGTATTGAAACGAAGAGACAGCAGTGCCGAAGAGCTGCAAACGGGTGAATGTATTTTAAGAGCACATGTATGCAAATACAGTCAATGAAAGAGAGTTACGTGCTGCCATCCATCACTTCGCCCATTGTTTCCCATACTTCTCATAATTTCGGCTACATACGCAAAACTGGTAGCGTATGCGTTTATAATTGCTTCTAATTCAGGTTGTCGAATAATTCCACTATCTCCCTTGAGCTGAAGTAAACCCTCACCGTCGAGTCCGTCTCACGTCTCCTCAGAGCACTTGTACCGTTGTACATGTTTCACACGCACATGACGCATGGTGCCCTGTGTCACCTTTAGTTCTACTTGTGATCTCTATATGGTTCGTACCAAAGGAAGGTTAATTTCATTTAAAAACATGCCCTCTTTTGTTCCCACTCGGAGCAGATAGGTATCTGAATTTTTATGAAGAGACAAATTTAGCGCTCCGTGAGCAACTTACAGGGCTCGCGTGACATTTTGAATTTTTAGGAAGCAGACATGCATCCAGGGGAGAGGTTTGAAGGTCAACCCCCCACTGCTTTAACGCCAAAATTAAATTAATAAATGAATGAAATAGAAATTTAAAACTTAAAAAAAGGCAAAAATAATGACGTCTTACTGCGTGTATAAAAGTAAGTACAACAGTAATAGTGTAATGCAATATGCCTGCCTGTCTGCAATAATTCACACGGGCGATTCACAATAGTGCGCTTCCAAGAGCAACGCGTTGACCAATCACAGAGCGCGAAATCTGTTGACCCTTTCCAATGATGTGCATTGATTACCTTCTTCAGGGCAAGAAGGTACTCATGGTTACCGAAAGCTCGGCAACCACATATTTCAGAGCACTGATTTGATATTATATTCTTGTCGATATTCTGATCTCGGTGCCACGCAGCCCCTTCATATTTCTCTGATAAGCATTGACTGATGTGATTGGTCAATGCGTTGCAAATTCTTGGAGGTGCACTACTCTATAACGTCCGTGTTGGACGAAAATCTAACAGGCCTGACCCCTCCCCTTGAAATTTCCTCGATGTGTGATATCTATATGGACAAATCGTCCCAGCGCAGTGGCGTAATTAAGGCTTAAATGTCCGGGGAGCAACCAGGGGTTCATACATTTTTTAAAGGGGCACACCACAAGAAAATAGGCTGCAGCTACACAGTAAACAGAGATTATTCACAGACTTCAAATGAAGGGAAACGGGGGGAGGGGGCATCAGCATTCGGTGGGGGAATGTGCCTCTGTAGTCATACCATTTCCCCGGCGAAACATGTTGGATTTTGAATTTCACAAGAGACGAATTTCCATGGAGATTAAGTACTCTATTTTTCTGTAATTCAGACATCGGAAACTTTAGCTATCTGTATTAAAAAATTGTCAACGTGCTCCTAAGAAGACGAAATCTTTATCTAAAAAATGACCGACTTAAAACTCACTTTCCTCAAAACGCTCCGTTGCCAAATTTGTTCCTTCTTGAAATCTCTGACGAAAAGCTCACCTGGTCCCCAGTGCGCACTATAAATTTCGGGATCACATTTCTCTATCCAAGTTGCATTTGACAGAATATGGTAAATTCTGGACCTACTCCTCAACAATTGCGTTCTCCGTGGGTGATACTAAAAGGCAATTTATTCTACCCACAAGTAAACATCTAAAAGCCATTTCTTATAGTGAACTGAATGGCAGAATCCGTGCATGTGTCGACAATTTCCTCTGTTTGAAAGTATTTGGCAGTCACTCAGTTTTACTTTGCTCTTTATAAACATACTTGTAACGCATATGCGTATCTAATAACCAGACCTCCACTTAAGGATAGAGATGACTGAGTCCACATTCATCCATTACGAATTCTGCGTACATTACATCACTAAATTGTTCCATTTTCACAAGTTGTTTTGAAGAGAACGTCAATATGAAAAAAATGCAGTAGATATATTTTGTGTGGAGATTGAGACGACATCTGTGTGCATGATGAAGTATTGTGTACAGAAGAGAAATATGCAATTTTGAAACATATTCCGATAGACTTGTGTCAGACCATTTGGATTTGGATTGAAGGACCCAGAGCGCAATACATTAAAACGAATAAAAAATTTTATGATCCTTAACACAACAGTAAAAAGAACAAATCAAATGCTTTTTTTTTTCAAATATGACAGGTTTACTAATAACCAAATAGTTCCAAAATGCGAAATTGCGTGGTACGGCATACATCAACGTCATACACTTCTTTTTGTGGTCGCCAAATACCAGAAAAAGTGCATTACAGGACTATACATTCACATCACCATTAACGGAGAAGAGGATAATTAATCATCTCTATGCCTAAATATTGAAAGGGTTGGCTACCATTTCCAGGGAGACATATCGACTGGTGAACGAAATTGAATTTGAATTTTTCATTAGAAGTCCATTACCCAAAGCATTTTACGTTCCCTGCTCATTACAAACGACGTAGGTCCTCCAACACGTCTATATATACACCAAGAAATATCACACGACGATTCTGCAAAATTACCCATCTGGCTACCATTGAACAATCCAGGTTATCCCTGATGTCTTAATGAGGTACCTGTATCCTTTAAACTTTTCACGACTGGCGGGCTCAAGATGAAAAAGAATGGAGTACGTTGCAATATTGGAGACTGAATAATTCATCAAAACCATCATTCAATTCGGCAAAGAACAAAAAGGGACATATTTTTGAGTGACTATGCGTTAAATCATGTCCAGCCGTCTGGATAAGTCATTGCCGGTAAAATTGTTGCTACAAAGTCGTTTCCTTTAACAAAATTATGATCTTAACAGTAATGATCCGATCATGATCATTAAAATGTGTTTTTTATTCCTCCATGGTCATATCGAACAGAAGATTCAAACTTACTACTGTGACCAGATACAACGCCCGTTCAGCAACTACTTGCGGTTCACTGCAGTGCACAACAGATAAAGTTCACAACATGCAGTCGAGCTGAATGACCTTAAACTTAAAGACTTTAAATTACTCAGGAAAACGGCAGATGAACAGTACTGAATTTTTGAATTTTTAACCAGTAATGGCGGTACAATGTTCCTGCGTTTGAAATTTACTCTCTCTGTTTTTATGACAGCCTGTACTCTGAATGCAGCCATAATGAATGAATCTTCAGCAACACTCTAATAACAGGGGCTTTTTCATC